GATTAAGATTTAACCGATATTCAACAGTTAGCCATGCATTCACTATTTCCCAAAATTGTTGCAAAAATTCACAGAAATAAAATAAATGTAACACTGTTTCGACATGAATCTCACAAAATGTAGCCTACATTTTGGACTTGATGTCTTATTTATTCTAAATAAAAGGTCATTTGTAGGCACTGCTCTCAGAGCAAATTTTACATGGAAAGATCGAAGTCGCGATTCAATAGTGCAATAAAAGACATTTTCATACTGCGTCAACCAATTACCCAAGTTCTTGCACAATTCATTTGACCATTTTTCTATTTTCTCATTAGGAATCAAAATTTTTACCTTACGGAGCTTATCATATATATATATAAATCGGGAAGGTTTATCAATGCTCTTAATATCTTCGATTAGACTACGATGAGGATTGGCTTGAGGTGTTTTTAATAAATTTTCTTTCAAGGTTGGGGTATACATAATAAAATTTTTAAATACGATTGCATGTCATTATAAAAATCAGAAAAGCAATAATGATGAAAAAAACTTGGAAACATTGCAATTTGATGTTTCGAATTACAGATGTCTTCAATAAAATAGATATTTTTCTAATCCAAATATCCATACAAAAAAGTTTTCCTCGATACATGATATCTTCCTCTTAAACCACAGTGGTTCATGCAAATGATTCACATTACTAATAACTTTGGTTTTGAAAACATACCAATAGTAGGGGAAGGTGGGGTACGTTGGGACATGGGGCACAGTGGAAAATCAGCTATCACACTGATACTATATCCGCAATCCTGTCCGCGGCTTGATGTTCCAATCCGCCCTTCGGTGAGTTACAACGTCCCCGCGAACGGACAACGGACGGGTAGAGCGGCGCAAGCTATGGGGTGAAATTGGTTTTGGGAGGTTGAAAAAAAAATTTCACCGTTCCAGTTTTTTCTTTTTTTTAGTTTAGCCTTTCCAATGAGACAAACCATCGTCTGATATTCTTTAGCGTCAGTCCACTGTAAAATATTCCTAACGTTAGCGATTGGCTGTGCCTTCCGAATTTTGCCGTGGGATGGTCTGAAAGTATTTGTTTCCTATGGGGAACAATGGACCGGGGTTCAGTGGGACATGCTCTACAGGGCACAATTCGACAGTGTTTGATACAATAAGTGCTTAGAGACTTAGAGATGCGTTATATTTTGTGTAATATAATGGTTTCTTTCGACCCATGGCCCAATATGGAATATATTCGAGAATCAATAATATTTCCAGATTTAGATTCGAGGAAGGAAATAATCAAATTTTTTTGCAAAATGTTTTGTCAAAATATCTGAACTATTTCAGTTGAACATTGATTTTAAAAATATTAAATCTTCAAATTCGAAGTCTCCCAGTACTTTAGACGATTATGCTGATTAATTGCTTATTTTTACGGGCTTACTTCGTTGAATTTTGACAGACTGACCCATTGTGCCCCAGGGTCTGTCCGATTGTGCCCCACAAGTGGGGTACAGTGGGACACTTGACAGACGTTTTTCAAAGCATTTTGGTAGTAAGATGTGTGTCGCAAGGGAATTTCTTTGTTGCTGAATAAAAACTACATTTACCCCTCTATGCATTAGTCCCGCAAACTTAAGAGAATATGCAGAATTAACGGCTCAAAATATGCAAAAGAAAAAAAGTGTCCCAACCTACCCCACTTTCCCCTAAAGGGTATCTCTCAAACATCTCGAATAAATGTTCTTAACAAACATCTGGATATACATTCCCATAAAATAAAGTTACTCCGCCATACAAATTTAAGAAAATCATTTCTATAGATCCCCCCTCCCATTATGGATGCAATCAATGTATTGCGTTTAATTCTCTCCCACTTTGAACCCCGTAAAAATTCATAGCATATCTTATTTACTTCTGTTACAAAATTGTTGGGCAGTCTTATTGGTAAGACTGATATTACATAGACCAGTAAGCTCAACATTAGGGATGCGATGCACAACTATTTGGAATCTCTTACACTACAGCGGTTCCCAAACTTTTGTGTCTCTTGGCCCCCTTTTGGAGGCGTTCAGTACTCATGTCCCTCTTGTTTATCATTCCAGTGCTATTCAAATTGTTATTATGATTGGTAGATTTCAAATCCCATTTATGTTCAAACAATTTATGCTCAACAAAGTGAAAACACCCTGAGAAATAGCCTTATCAAGTAAAGAAAAATAAGAACGGGTATATTCTTGTGAAGGAAATGCAAAATCAGTTCTGCGCCTAGCATTGCAACCGCTCTGTGGCCACCGGCCCCGGCTGGGAAGCATTGTGTAACAGTAAACTACCGGTATAAGCCGTTACGCTTTTGCCAAGTTCGCTGATCCACTGGAAATTCATCCATTTCCCCGTAATTTAGGGTCCAATCCGGTTTTTAAATGAACCCGTATGGAATTACTCACTTGCTTCTGATGCACAAGTGTACCTTTTTGTACATTTTTTCTCTACGTATTGTATCGTTGTGGTGTTGTATTTAACTGCAATATAGTAAAATAAATATGACGTGCCATGACCTTAAAATCTCTCGATCGATACTGCCCTAAATACCGGTAAGTACAACCAGAACAGCTTGTGATTGCATTTGCAATCCCAATTATTTTCCAGTTATAGGGGCAAATCTGGCATCTCTGATCGCATGCCACATGTACTGATATGCGCATTCGCGATTGCGTCTATTATATAAATCTATATATAAAATCTTTTGTAAATACAGTCGTGTACCGCCAACATATTTACAAAAGGTTTGGTCCAATATAAACCCACAAACAGTTGGAGTTTGAAATACAGAAATAAGTTATAGCCTAGTTAATTTATCTAAAATTTTAAATGCTGAAATGTCTGATTCTAAACAGCTGAAAACAAAAGCATACGGGGGTTCTGAATTTTTTTTGCTGAGTTAGATTGAAATAGCTAGCGGGTCCGATCGAACGCTGGAATACAGGAATAAGTTTGTTTTTAGTAGTCTTGGGGTCCAAAAACAACAAAGCATTTCAAGCTACCGAAAATTACTATCTATAATACAGAAGATTGATTTTATTTTTTTTTCAAATTTAAAAGGGGGGGGGGGGGTCGACCCGCAAAACCACCCCCTGGCTACGCTACTGCGGTAAAGCTAAAAATCTTTGATCTGATCGATGTAAGTTAGGGGGTCAAGAATGTAGCAAAAATCGGGTCTAGTATAGTTTAGTACCACAAGTACTTCCAGTGGGCGTAGCATAACGATTTTTGCATATGTTATTCCTAACCCTTACCTGACTATGCCATCCAAAAATAACGTCACTGTGACGTCACCATCACGTCATAGGGATTGCCAAAGTATAATTATGATCGCCCGAAATGGCATCTGCCCCGCCGATAAGAACTTGCTGAAGCCGGCGATCTATCTCTCTCCTATCGTGATCGTTACGACGAGAAAACGAGAGAAATAGCTTGCTCGATTTCGGGTTATCGTCTGCGCGTTTTGGACGACCATCCGCATACTTTGGTGGGTATTATTACGCCACTGTGAGGTCGAAATGACGTAATTTTTCGGTGACGTAGTCAGGTGGGGGTTAGGATTGACATATGCAAAAATTGTTGAGCCAGGCCAACTAGAAGTGGGGTCTAGTATAGTTCAGTACCACAAGTACTTACGGTGGGCGTAGCATAACGAATTTTACATATGTTATTCCTAACCCCCACCTGAATATGCCATCCAAAAATTACGTCACCACGACGTCACCATCACGTCATAGGCTTACAAAAGTATAATTACGATCGCCCGAAATGGCATCTGCGCCGCCGATAACGAGTCACTAACGCCGATGATCTCTCTCCGATCGTGTTCGTTGTGACGAGAAAACGAGAGAAATAGCTTGCTCGATCTCGGGTGATCGTTTGCGCGTTTTGGACGACCATCCGCATACTTTGGTGGGTCTTATTACGCCACTGTGACGTCGAAATGACGTAATTTTTCGGCGACGTAGTCAGGTGGGGGTTAAGATTAACATATGCAAAAATTGTTGAGCCAGGCCAACTAGAAGTGCATGTGGTACTAAACTATACCAGACCCCTAGAAGTGGATGTGGTACTAAACTATACCAGACCCCAAAAATCGTGGTACAGTGGTATGTATGGTGAAATTATTCAGTTATTCTGTTATTCTGAACAGTCAAGCCTCGATTATTTAGTCATACACTTCTGCACTTGTCTGCTTGTACTACTGCTGTACCCTGTACGGTGACATGAGTACTGGAGTAATAGTGCTCCAATACTGCAATACCAAACTATTGAGAGAAAGCCAAAAAGTGCTTTACTATTCTTGTACCAACTTTCAGACTTTGTGGACCACCTTGAAAACTTGGATCGTAACCGTAGTGATTCAGTGATTCAGTCTTGCAGTCTCGTCAAAGACTTGAGAAAGTCAAAAAGTGCATTACGATCCTAGTACTGTAGTACCGGTACCTACGGTACTTTTGCAGTTTTGTGGGCCATTGCGAAAACTTAAACATTTGACCCAAGTCATTCAATCTTGTTAAGAAGTGAGAGAGAGGTAATGAGTTATTTTCCGAATATATCAAAAAATGTAAAATTACAATAAATGGAAAAGAACAATTATAGAATATAATCGGGAGGTGGCGGGCAAGACTGCAAGGTCAACTATGTCGACTGACCCCTGTGAAGTATGGTTAGATCAGTCTTACAGTGATTTAATAACTGTTACCCTGTACCTAGTCATCCAAACCTTTTTAATATAATTTATTTACAACATTTGTATTTTATTTCAGTGTCTTTATGCAAGTTAATCGTAGTCAATTATTTTATTTTCCCCAAAACATGAAGGACGTAATGAAAAGAAGAATTTCAAGTATTTGGGGAGTTTGTCGACATATATTCAGATGGGGATGGATTCCGCTTATAGTAATGCTTGGATTAAATTACGGAGCAGATCCTGGAATGGCTGAACCATCTTTTATGGCATTGTTTTGGGGATGAAAAACAACCTGATTGAAAAAAACAATTTTCCAATACAAAGCTCCTCATGGAACATGTTTTGGGGCCTTAATGGACAATACTATCTTACTGTTTGAAATTATTTATCTACTTTTGAATGTTATGTTTTGTTTGTGATTAATTATGGTGAATGACTCCTATGCGATCTTCTATTAACGCTTTTGGGGTCGAGACATTATATACGATGTTATAAGCAATTATATGGAGAAAACTATTGAGAAGTGATCAATTAGTTTAGTTTAGTTGATCAATTAGTACTAGTTTTTACCATGCTTCGCACAGTTTTCATTCTAACCCTTGATTTATCCTTTAGTGACTCACTTGATATTTCTCTCAGTTACACCATATTAGTGATCAGCTGATAGAAAACACAAGTCATCTCTACTTTTTTTTTGAATGCGATTACACTACAATGTATTATATTATTGGTAATGTAATTACATAAGCTGAAGATATATCCGATGGTGACACAAAATGAGAATTCATTCTGAATGCTTTCCTCTAACTTGAAAGTTGGTCCACATTAAGCTAGGACTATGTCTATATAGCAGGTCTACCACTGCGTTTTCCACCCAAAAAGAAAAACACTTTTTTCTATACTTTAATTTAGCAAATTATGGCATGGATCTGACCCTAACTCTGTAGCCCCCGGGAAGGGAGCAGACCTCGCATTATAGTGGCACATATTTCTTGTTGAAATTTGATAAATGTAATATGAATCTCGTCCACTTTTGTACCACTTGCACTATTCCAATGGATTATTCGCAGAAAGTATAAAATAAAGTAATTATCACAAAATGCATCCTAAGATATCATTTCTATTATCTTTTTATCAACTTATTTGTAAAAATTACAGTTTGTCTTGAGGGAAGTTGACTAATCATTCAATGAGCAAATTCCCCCTTACTCCTTGTTGTTTTTAAATCTGACCATTGAGAAAGATATTCAGACAGAAGCGATAATATCAAATTTTCAACATTGGTTCAGTCAATTTATGTGAACATACGGTAACAGCTGTTGATCCCTGAATTTTACATTTTAAAATTTTGTCTACTCATCTTATGCTCAGAAGCAGATCTACAATACTGATGTAGAGAAAACAGTATATTCTAAATTCAATAGCGATGCGAAAACTCCATCTGTTGACTTAGCCATTTCTTTTCCCAGTCGAGGGTTGAAAAATGTTGAATGCAGTCATAGATTTGAAAAAGCAAATAGTGTTTTGTCACTAATGAAAATTTTGAACATTGACCCTGATTTAAGAAATTTGACTTCAGTTTCCAAATTTATACCACAAATGTTATAAACAGCAAAGATGCCCCAACCTTTTATTGCACAACCCCATGTGAAATGCATAATAACAAAGGCCACAGACTAGCTTGGTTTTTGACCTGAAATATTTGCATTTGTGTAATATTTAGATCTGCATCAATAAATTATTTTGTATGGAGTAATGTGTGGTCAATATTCACTTATTTACTTTTTGAATTGATTGTTCCAGTAAAGTAATTAGCTTGATTAGCACCATTGGACATCTTCGGTTTAAATTTCTGGGAAAATTTCAACATGGGTCTTTCTAAAGAAGAGGTATGCATATTGCAACTAATTTTTCTTGTTATACGTTAGTCCAGGGGTTCTCAACCTTTTTCTTGTTAGGTACCCCTGAGTCCGGAAACAATCAACCCGAACCCCCGTAATCAGACACTAAACAAAGTTGTGATATATTGACTAACAATTTGCTGCAACAACAATTTATTGCAAAGCCCTGTATTACACATTGTTGCGTCACAACAGCGCAAGATTAAGGAAAATATACGCTGAGTTTCAATCAGCCAGCATTCTTAGGTGGTAAATGAGTAAGTAATATTAAAAATAGCAACAAATGAAAACTTAACTGCCATTCAAGTATCCCTGGGGGGTTCGCGAACCCCAGGTTGAGAACTCCTGCATTAGTCGATTAGTATATTGTGCTGAATATATCTTATCAATATTTTGTAAATTAACAACAACAATTAAGCAACAACAAGGTACAGTTATAGTCGAATTAGTAAAGGACACATTTGCCTATTAGTCAACCTTTTTTGAAACCCTGGATTTGCCAGGTATATGGTTTCTGTGTATTGAAATAATACAATATGCGTGAACAATGAAGACAACCATCTAAAACTGAGCAAACATGATCCACTAAATGCATCTTCTACCCAAATTTAATTTTCATGGCAAACATATAAAAAATAACACTTTTCAATATGTTTAATAGTCGCTCAATAATATCTGCACCAAGTTGAAAAAATAACTCTGCTATATCTAAAGTAAATGCAAAATATACAAGAGTTGTTGACTCTTAATTGGAAAAAAACTCGGTGAATTATTCCATAGTCGGAATCTAATTCGTTGCTAAAAGCCATAACCATTGATTGTTAAGCAAGTTTCGTTTTGCTTGTGATTTCACAAGATTTGAATTGGGGGCTCTGGCATAAGAATACCCAGGGGTCTTAGGAACATGGTGTTTAAGTCTTAGCTGAGGGTGTGTGAAATATCGAGCTTTGTCCCAATACAACTTTCCATGATTTGTTAATTCAAGAGAAAAACAGTTTGTGAATATCATTGTAGTAACAGTTGATGCATCATGCTACGCTCTTCAAATTTGCTTTACATTGCTTATTTCATGTTGGTGGGCATAATTCAATGAAGGGTATTAGTGTGTCATGCGAGTAGATTGCTTACTCTGTCATCTCAAGGTGATTTATGTTACTGCTGTCCAGGTAAGGTTTCCTTCACCATCCCAGTCTACCCATTTTGAAAGATTACTTGGCTATCCAATTTATGCCTGAATTTGATCAGAGGCCTAGGTTTCGTATGTACAACTCAGCCATCTTATGGGATTGCCTCTTACCTGTAAGAGATATAAAAACACATTGAGTTCGAGACTTAGGTTTAGGTACATGTGCTCTCAGTGACAGGGATCTGCATAAGTTCAAATCTTCATCAAGTTTTTAAATTCCTGCACTAAACATTAATAGGAATCAATTTGTTTTGATAGAGAATTCTCTCCTGCTCAGAGGCCTATTGATGGCTCTGTCAGCTTAGCTATTTTTTCGGTCATAAACCCTCACTGTACACGAAATCAGGGATAAAGTGAATGAAATTGAACATACATCAGAACTTGGGTACATAATCGACAGCTTATAGACAAACAATATGAAATAGCATTATGATTTATCTTATAATTCCGTCACTGGTAATGCTATCCTTTTTATTGCTACAGATGCAACAAGTGGTGAAAAATTTAATGTTTGGAAACGATGTTGTCAAAAAATCTGAATATCTAGAGAAAATAGACTCAATTATAACTGTTATGGAAGATCCAGGTAATATAAATTAGATACTTAATTTCTCTTCTATGGGTGGATTGATTTTTATGGATTTACAATAGAAGAACAAAGCACACTACCTTCAAATGAGGTCAAAAAATGGCCATCATTTTTTTTTATTTGCCTACTGGTCCCTATCTCTCTAAAAATATCTTTGGTGAACACGTTGAATTATCCGAGTGTGTTGCCATTCACTTTAAATTTTTACTAAATTCTGTTCGGATATGAGCCATCTCAAATCATTGGTGACTTATATTGCAACCTTGGGTGTCTCTGCTTGACTTGTTATCTCTAAAAATGGGAATTTTCATCCACTATAAGGTATAGCCTATATTATCTAGACAGGGAATTGCCAAATAAACTTTCACGTTCCCGTTGTCATGAACACCTAAACTGAATAATTGACTACGGCTATAACAATTCTGCCAAGCTGTTTTGTAATATGAAGTATCACAGGAAATCTAAATTGTCTAAATGCAAAGGAAAAAACATTGAAATCAGGTGTAAATTGTATAAAAATTTATTCCTTCCAAAAAATTTCAGATTCCATTTCCCTATAAACACATCCTATTCAATTTTACCAAACCGAAAATTTAAGTGAATTAAAAAATGAATTTAGGTATTGAATCAAAAAGTATCATACGCGTGCCTCGAAAGTAAGTATACACTTTTAAATTTGATTTGCTTTTTAGGTACGCATTATAGAGCGTTCATTTCTTCAGAAACCACGGTATGGATAAATAGTAAAATTTTGGTATTGTTTGCATTTTTTTTATTAACCCACAGAATGACAAGAAGATAAAACTAAAAATGAGGTGCAAAATTGCTGTTTGGCACGAAGCTTATGAATCAGTAGGGCAAAATCAGCACATCTTCAACAGGAAATTTGAAATTAATTTAGCTCTGAATGTTTTCCACAGAGCATCGCTCCTTGGTCTTCCTTATCTTTATGCATCAACTACAGATCCAGTTTTCATAATTTTTCGATGAATTGCATAAACTGTTCGTTGTGTAGGAGCCAAATAAATTTCAAATTCTCCGTTAAAGAGGCGCTGAGTTTGCCTTATTGATTTATATGATTCTTGCCAAACAGCAATTTTGCACCTCTTCTTTGGTTTAATCGTCTTGTCATTCTGTGGGTTGATAAAAAATGCAAACAATACCTAAATTTTACTACTTATCCATACTATGTTTTCTAAAGTAATGATCGCTCTATGATGAATACGTGAAAAGGAAATCGAGATTGAAAGTGCATTCTCACTTTTGAGACACCATGTATGTTGTTCAGTCCCAATAATTACATTTCACTTTATCAATACAGGTTGTCCTGCGCCAGTCATATATATTGTTGTGCATGCTCTGGCTTCTGGTCTAAACTACTACCAATGTACTGTGGTTCAGCGTAAGGTTCTTGATGTTCTTCGAACCATGTTGAAACTGTTTCCTACTGCGGCAAATACAGCAATTACTCAATCATTGGATAAAATAGCTCAGTATCAATTGAACAATACCACACCAAGGTTTGTTGTATTTCAATTAGTTATTACAAATATCTATAACAGGGATGGTGAACCCCTGACCCGTGGGTCACAATAAATGCTAACATAGATGTCAGTGATAACAAATGATAAAACAGGCCTTAAATTAATCTAACAATAACTGAACTATTGTCATGTACCGTCAGGTCTACGATCGCTCATATTCAAATTGTTAATTTGGTAATGGTAATTTTCAAAATCCCCAATGTTGGTCGCATGTCTGCTGTGTACCGTTATACATCTATTGGCTCTGGCATCGTTTATGACATAACAATGCAATTGATCTGTTCATTTCTCGCAACGTCTTGTCTCTTTAGGAAGTGCATCTGCAGACAGTTTTAGGGGTTATACGAAAACTAGATGCTACTTTGTATTTTATTAGTTTCTTGCCTACAATGCTGTTGAGAAAACAAAATCTTTCGGACTTGAAATAAAAACCTAGATAACTGAAATAACAATGGGGCAGTGTAAAAGTGCCCTAATGTGGTTGAAAGCTGATCGAAAAATATAACACTATCAGAGTGGAATTCCCTTCAAACTCTTGGGAACCGTAAAATAATGTGCCGCATCATCCTAAACGTTTTTGGTAATTCATATGCGTGTTTTCGTATTCTAATTTCATAAAACCGAGTGCCATAAAAAATTCCTGATGGAAGTGCTGCATAGGTAAAGCACAAAACGATACCGACACCAACAGATGCTTGTAAGATTTCAGAAGTTTCTTATAGATTCAAGCATTGATTAGATATCTGTGACTCTCTTCTGTTCCGCGATAAAAGTATAATTTATGACCCATTCATTGAAAAAGGTTCGCCATCCCTGATCTATGACATCATCAGTGAATTTGTTTAAGAAAAATGATTACAAATAAATTATTCAATTTTATTAACAATATTTTAAAAAAGTACTGGTTATCAGAAATGGGCATTTTCGATGTTGGAGTGATCTTTCTGTTGCTGTTCACAAATTGTATTGTTTTTTTTTAGTGAGGTTGATTTTTTATTATAACTTTAATCTATCAACTTTCTTTTTATGGTGGAATACTATTAATATAAATATAGTTGGCTCATTCTTTCTTGATCAATCTAAATTACCCATCCTCACTTTTGAATTTTTTTATTTCAATAGTCGCAGTGAGTCTGCCCGTGCTCTGCTTGCATTGTCGTGGTCTTGTCTTTTGGCTGAAGTTTCGTTTGTTGGCAAAGAGACTGGAGAATTTATTCTGAGCTCCAAAAATGATGCATGGTGTCAACTTGTCAATGTACAAGCATCATTACATTATGGTGCATGCGCTGCTGGGTATCAACCTATAAAACAAAGTGCTTTCAGAAAGTTGAAAAAAGTATGGAAAATGGTAAGAACAATTGAATCAAATTGAAATGTCTAGTTCAGTGTGTCATTATGAGCATTTGGCAAAAAGGTAATTAACTTGATAGGTAATTTTGATCTGGTATTAGGGTTCTTTGTGGTTTATAATAGACAATTCAAAATGATTCAAATGAATAATTGTTATATTGGTAATTACCAAAAGGGGCTAAGGCATCTGGTCAAAGAGCCTCCCGCACCAAAGCCAGTGAGGCATAAATCAATAACAATGTAAAGAAAGAAAGTGTCGGTGTTGCCAGTGATCAACAATAACCTAAAATAAAATATTACACCAACAACATGTTGTCATTTATTCATTTTGAACAAAAATATATATATTTGTAGCTTAATGCTTTTATTACATTCTTTTATTCAACAGATTGGAAAAAAAGCACCAGATGTTTACATTGATTGCTTAAAAAAGGGATCACCGTCAATTCCTTGCTGTGGATTGCTTGGCGCGATTGCATCATATGACCCAAGCGCAATTCAAAAAAGAAAAACAGACTTTCTGGATCTTTTTGTGAAATTAATAATAATGAGCAAGACCAAACCATTGAAGTCTGTCCTGGTATGTTATTTCATGTATAATATGTTTTTAATGATGTTTTTCACCAAGAAGTTGACAGACTTTGGCCCAATTAAAGATATTAAATATATGATGGTACCAGCCAACGTTCCACCTGTATTGCTTAGTGCATATTCTTGAATATAATACAATTTTCGATTTGGTCATTTTACACCTTCAACCAGAAATATCTTCATTCATATCTATCATAAATTCATATCTATCTATCATTTTTAGTGATATTTTACAGATGTAATCAGAGGTGTTATCTTATGTACCGTAAGTTTTGCGTTAGCTTATTAATGAGTAGGCTATATCTAGAATAAGGCTATTCCAATATTCAGCTATACAAGCTAAAAGAATATCGCATTTAAATGATATCTAGAAATTTTCAAGATTAATCCTAAAATGTTTCAGTTACAAGGATTTGCTTATACATTTTTGTAAGATATTTTAAAACATGCCATTCAATTAATTTAATATTTACTGCATTTATATTTTTTCAAATTGTACATTGTACTCTACTCTATCAAGAAAATAACCTTTTTTTTCGACTTACAGGATTCATGCGGTCCTGCATTGAAGTTTGTCACTCACGATGATTTCAATTCATTTTTGTTCCCAGCTATTCAGAAAGCAACACTTAGAAGTCCTGAAAATGTTTTACAAAGTAAGATTAATTTTTGAGGTGAAAATGACGGCTAACAATTATTAGGAGCATTTTTTCCAATCTGCATTATTTCCAACACATGACGTAAAATTTATCGGCCAGGTGGTGATAAGGTCCTTCCAACAAACTACTCTTCTGACACCACAGTATGCTTATTATTTTACTTGCCATTTTAGCTGTCAGCAGTGTTCTCTCTCAAATGTCAATTGATTTAAGTCAACATGCAATGGACATTAGCAAATGTCTAACTGCCCAATTGATATCGAAGAATGATAAGATACGAGAGGAGACTGTGGAAGTGGTCCATGCTATGGCAAAACAGATAAGTGATGCAGGCATTATGCAAGATGTGGTAAAGCTCTTTTTTGGAGTTTTGAAAGGTAATAAACATGGAGTTGGTGATTGGATTTTTTAAATGATTTATTGTGTTATATACCAAGTTTGGCGCTCCAGAAGTATGTGTACCAATATGGAGGTACCATAACTAATTTTGTTTGCCTACTTCACACCAAGTTGTGTTAAGGGATGAAAGCCTATGGTCAGGGGATATATTCACGTGGCTAACACAAACAGTCCCCGAACTCATATTGGAACTAAAATAAGGAAAATTGGAATAAAATTATGGCCTAATCCTAACCTAGTACACAGGCTCGCCAGGATTATCAAAAGTGGGGTTTCAAAATCGGAACTACCCTTTACCGTTTGTAATAGACACCGATATTACGCCCTCGTTAAAAGAGGCGCCTTTTCAAGGTATATTGATTTTTCTGTAGCCTGAAATATTCAATCCATGACAACTATGAGATTCTAAAATGTCCTTATATTTATATATTAATTTAATTGTGTCCAACGTAACTCGAGGTTGCGTTTTCTTACATCAAAATAGGTAAACATGTTTACCCTATATTACCACGACGATCTGTGGACATGAAAATATGAGATAAACTGCCTGATGTATTTAATTTTAATATATATTTTTGCGAACTTGCAACTCTTAATCGCTGTTAGAAAAATCTCAAAATCTGATATAAAATCCTGTAGAGTACAAATTTTCTTCATACAATGAAAATATATATAAAGTATATCAGTAAATCAAAAATACATATTCATTGCCTCGAAACCCACGGGAAACAGTTGCCGCGATTACGCCACTTGTGAAAAGAGCCGACTTTTTCAACGAATAATAATTTTTCTGTTGTGCAAAGTAATCAATCCATGACCAATACAGGCATATTTAAAATGTCTTGCTTTATTAATTGTCTTCAATTCATCCTGCAGTTGCGTCGTCGAAACAAAAGCATCACCTCTCTAAAAATGTATGGTAAACTGCCCGATTATATATTGTTTTGATCCGCATTTTTGCTATTTTGAAAATTCGACAAATTTGAGATGTACTTGTAACACTGACTCCGCCCAATCGCAATGCTGCCACTCCGATCATTTTTTAGATAAAATGTTTCAAAAAATTTGTAAATCTGCTGTATAATCTAACGGAGTAAAATTTGTTTCATTACAAATTACAATAAAATTTGATTGAATATACTTTAGATTAATTATCTTATATATCATCACAATCCGGAAAAAAGTCGCCTTGCCAACCTTGTATAATGTTAACACGAAAATTTTCGACGGCAATTTAAAGTAACGGATAAAAATGCAAATCCCGTCCACAATTAACTGTGTTTTGATTTGACTGACGATAGTTTCTAAACGCAGACCCAAGATAATGTGTGCGGTGTCATTACAATAAAATTGATTGAATATATTTTAGATTAATTATCTTATATATATCCTCACAACCTGGGAAAAAATTTTCGACGGTAATTCAAAGTAATGAATAAAAAGTCCAATCCCGGCCACAATTAATTGCGTTCCCGTTTTAGTGACGATATGTTCCTAATTACTACCCAAGAAAGGTACACGAAATTTCGCGATTTCCAATGCCTAGAAAAGCGTTTTTAACTGTCGCGGGCCTCAACAAAATTTATATTGTTCATGGTTTTATTTCAGTTTTTTATATTGCCGCTTTTCGAACAAAACATTTGCGTCGCCGGTTTACTCCGTCATTTGTCTTCAGCATCTCTCCACCGTAGTACGTATAATAACTTTTGACGGATTCACAATTTCGTGCGACTGTGGGGGTACATAAATAAAATAATTATCATCAATATTGTGGCACAAATTTGTGATTTAGAGAGAATAAACACCAACGTAAAGGCGTTTACGGCCTTTCACGCTGAAGAAAACAATCGGCGATTTTAGCAACATGAGATTTCACACGGTATTTGCGACTTTTTCAGTTTTCAGAATATACCCTTGGTTGCACCACTGCTGGTACACATACTACGGGAGTACCCCAAGCTTTGCATTGGAAATTTTTAAATTTAAAGAGCATATTCCAAGATTGGCATTGAAAAATATTAGATGAAATTTAAAAAATGTTGTAATTTTTAAATATCTTGATTTTTTAATTTTGTGAACTCAATTCGTTCAAATATGCTATACAATTATTTTGCAAATCAGATCGGTATTTAAAATTGAAACCTGTAATAAACCATGAAATTTATACTTTCATTTCAAGGTAAATTGGCGATTGCTGGCCAGAAGGTAGATGTTTTGGAATCAATTGGTAAATTGAGTTGTTGTCCAGTTAGTAAGGGAGAATCAACTAATGTTTTACTGGCAACTGTCTCTGACAACTTCCAAACATTTATGCTGCAGGTAAGTGTGGAAGATTCATTAAACAAAAAAAATATATTACAGCAAAAGCTGGCTATACAGATGACCACTATCTGTGTTGCAGAGATCTGGCATACCGAGTTGTTTTTACTACTTGAGTCCCCCGATACTCATGCTGGTTGTTATTTAGAAATTCATATACAGTAATTCAGAAAGTGTGGATTTTGATATGGATATTATTTGATAAATGCTAATGTATGAATTCATCTGAATATATTTTGGAAAGTAAGATAGTACCGAATTTCAAATGTAAGTTGCTAATTTCTTAACTGTATATTTGACAATATGTTGTTGTTAATTTCTTTAAAGGAAAACTATGAGGGAGCTCTCGTCAAAGCCCTTTCATGCATGTCAGCATGGTGTGGGAAGTTATCGACTGATATTCCAAAATCTCTTATTGAGATGTTCAAGAAGGGTCCTACTTTAAAAGCATCAACCGCTGCAGTGAGATGCGCTTATATAGAATGCATGATATGTTCCTTCACCAGAGATACATTAAGCCAGGTATATCGTATTTTCAGTATTTTATAATAACTGCCGTATCTTCCAGCTAATAAGTTTATCTGACGACTATCTTGGTTGCTTGCTGCTCTCTTTTTGAGGTACTGATATTGGCCATCATCAGGGCCCCATCGCAATTAGGATTCATGCTACGTTACGATTGTCACTTAGTTTAAAAAAAGGCAAATAATTGACATGAATAGATGCTGTGATTGGTGTCGGAAACATTATAAAATATATCATCCCAGAGATGATTATGCTTGAGCAGGATTACCAAAAAATAAGCTGAGCCCAGAAAAAACAAAATAGGCCTAGTTACACAACAAGACAACCCCTGAAAATCAGGTCAAAATATTTGTTCTGGGTTCCAGCCTACTTTCTTGGCGAGTTTGGATACCTTGCAATCCGTCTTGTTCTAATTATGCTAAAAAGGCAATGACATAATCTCCAATTGAACTGATTATGTATAATAAACTATGCTTTTTTTACAGGCTAATGAGTTTAGTGCATCTCTTTTAGCAACTGTTGAAAAAGCGAGTGGACAAGCTATGCAAATCCCAATAGTATCTGAAGCATTATCCGCCTCTCATTTGATCGCTAAAATATCTGCTATCGAACATAAGATTGGTATGTAGGCTACATGTATTCGCAGTAATTTATACCTGATTAAAATTGTGTTAGTGTTTATCTCTGAATAAAAATAGGATAGTATATTCATTTTTGAAAAGTGAAAATGCGCTAGGATGACATACAATTTCATATTCGGTTATTCGTCAAGTTTGATACATGACAGTTACCCAGGTACAAAGATATGAAGCAAGGATGGTGTCGCAATCAATCAACGATAACATATAGTCTATAAATCCATAAATACCCAGCATTTATATGGACACTATGTAATACAGAATTTTCTTGCACCATGCTAAACTGATGTATGGTTTTTGGTTTCTGCTGAAGCCAAAGGCCTCCATACACTAAACAATTTCGAATGTGGTACTAATTACATTTCACATAATAGAAGTATTATATAGAATACATGTAGATGTACTATATAGAATGAGATTATACTCTTTCGTTTCCAGAAAATTCTATTTTTTTCCTCCCTCTCATTTAAGCATTCTTGTGTGATAATCACTTAAATATTCAGCAGTACAAGAAATGTGGAATGAAGGATAGGCAATTCGCCATACAACCGTAAATTTATTTAGATCACTATACCAAATTGGACTCAACTCGGCTCAAGTTGAAAACCTATGTTAATAATTTATTTTGCAGTCGAATCCAAATTATCTTCGTTCTGGAACGTTGTATTGGATTCACAAAAATCAATTTTCACCTCGGATAAATTTCTACAGCAAGCTTCTGATACCAGTCTGATTAGGCTAATTTTATTCTCCGAAACCTTATTCTTGGAACAAATGGCACGGTTAGATGATGACGTGACAAGGTACACTCCAATATTACCTATGTCTCTAAATTACATTCAAACTAATTTTTAGACTAACCTTCTTTCTTTCCTTTTAGATATCAGTAAATAGAAGACTAAATCACTAGAATTGTATTTAAATAAACAGGGTAAAAATTTTATAGTGGGGGCTTTTTGTAATGCCCGCGGGTGACTTATTGAACAAAATAGTTGTTGCTCGTTATTTTATTTATTGATTTATATATTCTTTTTAGGATATATGCCTCAGCCATTGTGAAGTTGCTGCTTCATAAAGACTGGAAGATTCGTAGTTGTGCACAAAGAACTGTTAAAAAGCTTTTAAGTAGCCTTTCAGGTGAAGTGATTGTTTATCATTCTTATGTCAGTCACAGTTGCGTTGATTTTTGAACCACTCAGATTTTTTTGATTTTTACATATTGATACCAATTGCGAGATTTTCATGTTAGTTGGAGTGATATTTATTTTGCTGATGGCGTGGTGCATACAACTTTATAATTTATTCAACTGCAATTTTTTTCAGGCGACAACTTGTGCATGGTTATGCTTGCGGGATTCAGTTCTATTTTACGTCCAACTAAAGTAATTGATTTAGAGTCACTTGACGATACTGCTGAAATTCTAAAAACGTACATCCATCCTAAAAGATTTGAAATGGCATTGAAAAGTATTTTGAATATTCCTGGTATTGATTCTGACAAAGGGAAAGCAACTTTGATAGCTTTGGAGATATTACTGGATTGTCATCACCCCTGCATTCGTGAGTTTTCAGATTGAAGATTTTCTAATTGAAATGATTATTATTTTAAGATAAATTTAAATAAAAATATATCGTTGGAAAAATAGGTAATAATGCTATTCTGGTTTTATTTTTTTCAATTCTAAGTCTTGAACAACGACTAACATATGCATTTAGATTTGTGCTAATGACGAGACTTTCCATCACTATACAGTAGAGACAAGTTTTTTGGTGAGGGTTGGTTTCACCTGGTCACTCTGAAAAAGGCACTTATACACATCCTTTGATCTTGGATATATAGTGTTCATGTCTTCAAGTGGACCATATTGTTTGTGTTTCTTTATATCCTACATTATACATTTTATTGCTCTCTCCCATTGTACGTTTATCATCCTAATATGTTTTAGAACAGTGGTTCCCAAACTTTTTTGACCATCGCCCCCCTACAGTACTTTATACAACCTCATCGCCCCCCGGCACTACAAAAAAATGTAAAGTCAAAAACGAATATATTAGAGACCGAATAAGAAGACAAATCATAGTTTATAGTGTTTTTTAATGATATGGATGAGCTTGGTGTTCTTCAGCCAGTTTTTTATTATATATATCTGAATTACCCAGTTTACTGATGGAAAGGTGATTTCGTTGTTTTAATAGCAATAGTAGCACGGCTCAAAACCCCTTTCTCACCTAATATAGGTCGGAAATGAAAGAATCCAGGGTTCCACCTCCTCAAAAACCGTCGTGTACTCTTGCCTTATAGCATTTCACTCCCAAAATTTACCTCATTCCACATTAAATTAATGAAATCAAAGTTCATTTTCCCAAAGTTATAATAATGATTTCCATACATCTCATTCATTCCTACAGCCTGATGACCTGCACCAAAATACTTCGTTAAAATTCATCCCCAATTCCTCATTCTACCACGGCCTCAAGTCCAATCACCAGTCCATATAATTTTTCAGCTATTTGTTTTTGGATTCACGGACTCGGATGTGGAAGAAACTGTGACCGACTATCGACTACGGCCCAGGGGTCGGCAAACTTCATGTCGCTCGGGAGACAAAATTTAGGGTTGCTAGTCTTTTGCGGGTCGCATATATTTTTTAAAAGTTAAAAACGGAACAGCGCCCGAAAACTGCGACAATTCGTGAACTCAACTCAGTCGCCTTATTAAAAAATTATTACAATGACATTTAATGTGACACTGTCTTGTTGCTGCATCACGCTTGATAGCTTTACGACGCCAAGATGGGAAGATTTTCTAAATGGGCATCACTAATCCCAATTCTTTGCTTGTTCTTTGTAATGTCTCCATTTTCGAAACACATTGTTTGCACAAATATGTACTTCCAAACATCTAAGTGAATATTCTCGCATGATTTGTGAAATTTTAATAAAGATTTTCTTCAAGAAGATACATTCTTACAAAAATTACGCACTGATGAATCAATCTCTCGAATAGAATATGAATTTTATTTCCTTATAGCATTGCAATATATTCGAATATTTACTGCATGCGCTATTGAACCCCTGTCCTCAGCATCAACTTTTTTTTTCTTCGTGTTTCCATTTGTCTAATTATAATTAAATTGTAGGCTCGTTAAAAGAGTAGCTAGCTTTTTTAGGATGTAATGAAATTTAGTCTAAACGTGTCTCACGACAGACTTTCAGGCGTGGTCGTGAACATTCCCTCATTTTCGCGTTTTTGAATTATATTCCTTAGTTTTTAGTTGTTTTTCGGAAATTTAAATATAAGTCAATGATTACTTTGTTTTCCTATGAGTTTCAGTTTAAATACAGTAATTAAAAATTGGTGTGGAAATAGCTGTGATAGACTATAGGCTAAAATTCTTCATCGTTACTTTTAAAAAACAGATTGTTGAATGGTATGAATTAGAATGATAGTTTGAAACAAATACCCTATTTTACAACCAACAACTTGCGAAACCACTCTTAAAATAAGCACCGAAAATTTTAAAATGGTAAAGTATAGGAAGAATTTTCGGGGATAGGTCTATTCAGTGAATCGTCCCGGTCGAGATTTTTTTACTCCGGCCGTATTTTGCCGACCACTGGGATACGCAAACTACCGTACCTTACTGCGGAGACGAGTCCAGCAATCCTTTCGCGTGTGATAATAGACCACGTGATTCAAGCCTGCGAATGCACACAGAGTACAGAATTGAGTGCACAATGCGCCGAGCAAAAACAGGTTTCGCGAAATCGCCCCCCTATCGCCCCCTTCGACTTTTTCGCCCCCCTCTGTATCGTTTTCGCCCACCGGGGGGCGATATCGCCCACTTTGGGAATCACTGTTTTAGAAGATCACTCGTCTAACGATGGGCTTTATTAACATAAATTTAAAGTAGATTTTTCATGTCATACTGAACTTCCTCCAACATTCTAATTCATGCATTTGAACATTATTATTCTGCAAAACTTAATATCTGACACAAATTGAGGCGTGACATTTTAACAGAGATGTCTTATATTGCTTTACTTCCATAGCATGCGGGAAAGTCTAATTGTAATTGTAACTAACCACACCTCTACTTTCTAGGGTATATAAACTTTATCTTCCAGCGTTGTGAACTTGTGAGACATTCTCGTGTGTGGTTGATTGGAATAACACATCTCATTTTTTTCTTTCATCATAATATCCTCGCACTTGTTTGCTTTATTTGCTATTCAGAATCTGTTAATGAAGACATGTTGACTGACTTTTTGTATCAAGCAAATTTGGATGCTGCTGAATTTATTGCCAATAACATTGATATTATTATGAAGGAATACGCTACAACAACAACTCATTCACAGGTTTCATCATGTTTCGTTAATTTTTTGTTGCGGGTTTAACACTTGTTGATAAAATTGATAAATATGCCACAATTGATAGTTGATCGCATATATATGTTGTATCCCTTGGTCAAGTCAAATTAATTTGATAAATCATGTAAAAACAGAATTTGGAAGTATATTTCTTAAATGCCAAAATTCATAAATTTTACCTAAGTTCACTATATCGTATATGATTATTCTTGAATGCGTTACAAACTTTTAATTCAGTGGCCATCCATAGCTTTCATATTGTAGAACAGAACATTACCGAATCTCAATGCATTGTGGCATGAAAATTATCATCTTTTCGTTAAGCTTTTGGTATATCTTCAAAGTCTATTTCCTATTTTTTTCTTGTAATACAGTCCAGCTTGAAAGTGCTTTCGGATTTAACTCGTATCGCACCGCATACAATTATGCCAGAGTTACTGAAGTATGCTACTCCTATATTACAAGATCCAACCTTATTGCAAATAACTAGGAATGAATACGGAATCATGAATACTCCAGAAGGAGAACTCTGGAATAAATCAATCATTGACAGGTTTGTGTGAAAGATCATCTCAACATCTCATATATGCAGCATGTAATGAGTTGAAACGGTGTTGCTGCTCGATAACCATTTTTTTCAATATACTTGATAAATAAATTGCTGATTGCTGACTGATAGACTATGCTGAACCGAAAATATTCCTGTTTTTTCAAAAAATAGTACAAAATAATAGCTCCACACACATCATTGGCTACATTGTAGCATATGAGTTTTTAAATATGTTTTTTTCTAATCCAGGGTTTCAAGACATCAGGGGGGGGGGGGGAGGGTGAAAATTTTGAAGAAAATTCATTTGAAAATATTACAAAGCAATAAATGCTTTTTAGCTGGTTTACTAATCAAAGTGATATTCGCAAAAATATCTCTAAAATTTATGGGAGTTTAAACCTTGAAAATATTTTTATTTTTATTTTCGCTGACATTTTTTTTTAGGGCTGAAGCCTTAAAAATGTCGCCTGCAGTGCTGATGATTGGATTTGGATCAATGTATTTTTGCTAATTTTCTTTTACTTTTCAGTGGCCCGAAAGTAGCCGAAAATAAAAACATCAGAAGGGAAAACAAAGCTTATTCATACAAAGAACAAATGGAATTTCGTCAATTGGAAAAAGAGATGGAAGCAAAAAAATTAGCAAAAGGTGGCGGGGGAGGGTATGTATAAGATTGTTTGTAGGCTTGTACATAACTTATAGATTTGCGGAATTACGGAATTATTTCGAGTAACGGGAGCGAAGTCACGAATTACGTAATGCGCTTTCGCGATTGAAACGAGCTTACTTCAAAGCAGTCAATTCCGTCGATTGTAAAAAATTAAAAGTTTAAGTAGAAGAAGTTAGAGTTCCGGTATTCGCAGCCGTTTTCCTCTCTCTTGTTACGCAGATGGGGAAGGCATACCGCGTCATTTACTAACCTATTATCAACTTATCTAGCATGGCCAATGTACATATTAACCGTAGATAAGGGATAGAATTGTGTTGAGACCGATGGACGCCAACACACCTGGTTTCAACTTCTCCGGGTGAAATGACTAAAGAATGTAAGAGATCAACTTATAAAACATGGTCTATTTGTAAATGCCGTGATAATTAATGTCGCGCTTATCAAACAGCAATATAAAGGCGGAAGAGAAATTGCGGTATGAACCAACGCAACTTAGTCTTTTCGGCATCGGTAAAGCGATTGAGACGGCAGAGAAACAACAATACGACACGATTTCCCGTGTTTATTCTGCGCCAGATCCATTTTATATTACTATCTTGATGTTCTGTTACCGATTTTATCGTTATATATCTGTCCGGACTTGGCAATGCTCAATATGTTTTTCACAATGCCTCGCAGTCGCAATATGTCGGCCAAATATGATTACCTGTCTTTACCAAATGCGGCAACTTATTTTGATTTATCGTCGACTCGAATACCACCGGCACTCGACCAAACTTGTGGCAATCTTGGCAAATAGGATTGTCGACTTGAGTTAGAAAAATAAATTAATATTTTCATGAGTGCAAAATAAATGTCACAAAATGCATTGTTTTGCGATATAACTTTGTATTTTCAGAGAAGGCAGAATTTTTATTTAATACGAAAGTCGTATTAATACGTTAATACGATTTTAAAAGAGTCAACCATCGTTTCATAAATATATTACCAGTGTTGGTAATGATAAAATTGATCGCATAAATTTCGGTGATAAAGTTGATAAAGGAAAATCAAAGCTAATACAAAAGATAAAAATCAGAATAAAATTATTTTGAATTCACTCCTTGATATTTGTCTTTAACATCTGTCGCCGGCGTGTAGTACTGCCGGGAATATGAAAACCAAACTTTGATGTCCCATTCGGAATAGAAGTGGATTAAATTTGTTGTTATGATAGGTTTAAATGTGTGAAAAAAATATCGCAATTACGGGGTCATTACGTAATCGATTTGGCCGTAATTACGGCATTGATTTTTGTCAATTACGTGCAAGCCTAATTGTTTGTATACCATATTTGATACAGCTATACAGGATTATTTTAAATGGGTCCCTGTGGGTTTAAATATGAACAAGTTATGGTATTTAATTTAAAAATATGAGTCTTACAGAATTTTTTCCCCCCTATTTGTCAGGGTGAAGGGCTCTGGGGGATCCAAAGGTGGGGTTCTCCAGTCTCTGTCAAAGAAGCAGAGAGAAATGATGGAAGCTGAATTACAAAGAGAATCTGGAATTAGAAAGAAACTTATGCAGGTTAGAAGGATCTGTAGTTCTTTGAACTTTGTGTTTTTGTTTTGTGTAGCAAATTTCACTTACAAAATCATAATACCTTTGATACTTTTTTATAAAATTTTCCGGTACTCCCGTAGTATATGAACCAAGATGGCGAACACCCGAACGTAGTATGTGTACCAGGTTAAGGTTAGGCCATGATTTCAGGTACAAATACTACAGGAGTCACTTGGCTAGTCCCTGAACTCAGGATAGAACTAAAATAAGAAAAATTGCAATAGAATTATGGCCTGACCCGAACCTGGTACACATACTATGTTCAGGTGTCTGCCATCTTGGTTTACATACTATGGGGGGGAGCCCCATTTTTCCATATGTCCAATAATAATGTAAAGACTTGAAATTTCTATGTCAGTAGTCCAATGATTTGGCTACAAACCACAGTATGCAATCCGACCATACAAAATTTTTTTTTTCACCCAGCTTCGCTTCAATTCATGCCTTCTGGTGACGATTACTTTTTTATAACGACAATATTTACTAAGTATTCAATATTTTGCAGTTGAACAAAGTTGTCAAAGCAACTTTTCTGTCTCTCGATGCATGCATTCAACAACAAAATGCTCTGGAACTTTCACATTACATTCCTCAAATTATAGAACTAGCTATTCCACTACTACAATCTTTACTTGCATCAACATTGGCTCAAAACCTGTTCTTGACTGCAGAGAAAATTGTGTCATGTGAGGCCCTCAATCAACTTGGTAAGTTACCTGGTAAGGGTGTGGACCCAAGACGGTAAGAAATTGTGAATAATTCAAGGATGTGAAGAAATTAAAATATTTATTCCCATCTTTGTATAAGGGTTTGGGTTTCGAAACAACTGTATTTTACACTTTTTCAGCTCATTATTGTACGATCGAGGCTGTGGGCCAAGATTTTTTTAATGAATAAATTTGACCTTCAACCTGAGGTCTTCAACTGAATATATCAAATAGGTTTGAAATGTTTCTTTCACTAACTTCCAAGTTTTGAAATGGGATCCTTCATTAGGGTAGTTCTAGTTTACTGATCAGAGTTTTCTTAATGTATTTCCCCGTATATTTATCAAATCCTGCTGCCAGCAAAGTTATTTGACATTTTCTATTTTTTCAGGCATCCAAATAGCCTATGCAACAATAAGACTATATGACCCAATTCAAGCAGTTGAACAAGAATGGTCCGAAGAAGATTTGGTGTTATGCACCAAAAGGCTGACACATATGCTTCACTTGGTTACAAAAAGTAAGAACAATAACTTTTTATATCTGGATTTCTGAATAATATGTTAAGCCTTTAATATTTTTAATATTTTAATATATTTAATCATGATTTAGCAGAATGACACGAGCCAAATATAGGATAGGACATAATTTTCGACAATTTCTAAAGCCAGTTTGTGTAAAATACCAATTTTGATCATTTGATAGAATTGGAACCTCGCCTAACTGATGTCAACTAATAATTCCAAAGTATAGCTTTACGGCCATATGTTATTCCAAATTTGATTATATATTGGAATTTTAAAATTTTCATTTTTGTGCAAATTTATACAAAAAATTTTTATTTTTCATTTTTCTTAGCGCCACTAACAACTCCTTGTTTCTGCTACATTTTTCCTTTTCTCACGATGGTTTTGAAAGATGCTGGAGCAAAAATTGAGGGAGATGAGAAAATGATGACAGATGCTTTGCAAATCATCATCAAACATGCAAAAGTGTCTTCAACGCAAGGTTCAATATTGTAATATATTATGTTTAATTGTAAATTGGTGGGTTTGAAGTATTTCGTTAGACTTCTACTGTAGCAATTTCACTTCAATGTTCGAAATAATGTTTACAAAAGCGGTGGGTGAAGCACATAACCACTTGTGCTCTGCCTGGGGTTTTGCTTAATCATAAAACACTACTTTAGAAGAGATTTTACTATTTTTGGGTGGAATTGAAGAACAAATTTCTGACTTATAGGTTGCAATTGATGGTAATATTGTTGTTTTTTTTAGAGTGGAAATTGCCTGAAAATTCAGAATCTATCACATTTAATTTCAGGTAGTATTTGGATCGGTGGTAAACGAAAACAAGACTTTACCTTTGGTTCCTACAACTAATGCCTGTTAAGTCACAAATATTATTTTGCCTGCATCGAGCCTTTGCCTAATCTTGATTGGGTGTCCAACTTGTCACAATATATTGATCTGAAAAGGTCTTTTGTGATTTATTCTGATTTATTATATTATTTCAATAAAATGCTCTATTTTTAGATGATGGGCCAGAATTTTTACCTCGGCAAAGAATGCTGGATTCAATGCAGAAATTAATAGGAACAACAACTGTTACAATACAGAATTTAGCCTGTGATGCATTCATTTCAACCTGTGAAGCGATAGCTTCTATGGGCAAGGAGTATGCTCATACAAGATGTTATAATCAAAGTTTTTTAGATTGGAAAATCATAATATATCGGTTCTAATACAGGATTGAATTTATATTTGTTTGCAATTCCTCAAAATTAATCAAAATAAATGTTTTTATAAATGCTCTCTCACTAACGAACATCCCACTAGAACACTTGTACACCCTCCTTGCATAGATGGGAGTAAACCCTAGATTCTCACCAACAGGTCATCAGAACTGGTACCAGAGATAGAATCACTTCTGCAGTGCTTGCTTTCTCCTGTTGTTACTCTGCGAAGGACTTCTCTACAGGTAAAGTTTAAAGCATTATTTATTCCAGTTGTAGCCATTTCACCTCTAAATTTTGCACTCAAAGTTGACGATTGTCCTCATTTGCAGACATCTTAATGCTTTTGAATAAAATGGATCAAATCAGTTTTTTGTGAATTAAAATTTAATATTTGTCACATTCCTGATAAAAACATACATATGACACCTAACATTTTCTTGTGTATTCTTTATATATTCTATAATATCTAACATTAGTTATGTATATTTAGGGTCTCTCCAGTCTTTTAGGTGTTCTACCTACTGGTGCTGTGAGGAATGATTTGGTTTCCAAATTATCGCAACGAATATGGGTTGCAAGACATGATACCGATGAAGAATGTAAAGCATTAGCAGATTCATTATGGACTAAATTACTGTATTCCACCAATGCATCATTGTGTCTGTCCTTAATAGTAAGTAAGCCTTATCTTTCATGTACTGGGAAATTTTTTTTTTTACCTGCCTGCTATCATCTTAAGTTAAGAAGAATATATGCATGTCTATTTGAGAAATAGGATTTTCATTTTTATCCAGGAATAGAGGAAAGATATAAGAGGGCTTGATCATATAGCGGACACCGATTTACCAGCCCATTTTGGTTATGGGATAGTTAACTAGTTATTGGTTTTAGATGCATGACTTGAATACTGGTATATTATGGTGGAGTCAATAGTTCGCCTTTCTATACCTAGGGTTTCTTGGCCGCCAAGTCGCAGGCTGATGCTGGTATGTTCCTAACTTCCTACTCTCTTGCTGTTCCACCAATATATTGCAATTTAACAATTTTAAAAGTTGTGATATCTAAGGATGGTATATGGGCAACTGCAAATTTGTCATTAAATTGAATTGTTCACACTTCCATGCTTGACATTTTTGGTTGTTTTTGAAGATCCGCAAGATTTTTAAAAAAAATATATATTGGTCTGTAAGGCTGTAACTAAATAGTTTGATAATCAAGATTTCATAAAATTAGGACTATCCAAAATCGAATAATTTTCTGATTCGAATCGAATATTTTCGCCGAATCGAACCGAATAACCGAATATTATTGCGCAATCCCAATTCTTGTCTATATTATACAATAAATGCCTGCCCTTCGATGTTGTGGTAACGTATGTGCAGTCACATCTGACTTACTTTCAGTTTTATGAAAGGAGATCACACGCTTGTATGAACTGGTCAAAAAAATTGGAGAACTCCAAAATTTGGGTCTCGAAAACTGTTAAGTGTTATGAGTAAGAATTGCACAATTCAAAAATTGCAATCTCAATTCTAATGAATTCCGTTTTAACAGGACATGTAAAGCCTGTAGATGCTATTTTAATCCTATTCACTAGCCTTAGGTTTTTTCGTGTAATTTTTAGCAAAATGATAACAACCATTAATATAGATGAAACTGTTGCTCAAATTCAAAATTGCATTTAACAAATTTATAGCTAGTTTGATGATAATATTATTTGATGACTATAATATTGTTAGTGTACAACAGCCATCAAAATTCAAGAATTTAATTATTTGTCTTGGTATATAAATGGATAATAAAGTATTGCCATTATAAGAAATTACAAATTCCATTGAAAGAAGGTATTGCCACGATAAGGATCCCACAATACCTGTTTCAGCTTTGAGTCGCCTGTACTATGTTCCTATGATAACTAACTCAACAGCTTCAAATCGATTCTATTTATAGAACTATCGTTTTCTAAATTGCCTTTTTCTCCTCTGTCAAAAACGTCATTACCGATTATAACTTTTAAGTTATGATGACCATGCATGAAATGGCTAAACACGTGCCACCGGGCGGGCATTAGGAATGACATGTTTATCACAAAATGAAGACGAGAGAAATATCGGGAAACCAATTAAGTCGGGAGCGATAGTAGTCTGAGCTCGAAGCGCCGCCGCTTGCCCAATGAAAACCGTCCTGCAAAGGTGGTTTCCGATTTATGTAACTACTTTTAAGCGATTCGAAAATTAGCTGAAGAACGATTCGAAAATTTGCGATTCGATTCGATTTCGAATATTTGGTTCGCTTGGACAGCCCTACATAAAACTATATCGCTGTGTATGAAAGAGATCTGTCATGTTTGGTTTAGCCTGCTTAGTTTTTTGTACATTGGGTGTGATTTAGATCGTGGGATGATTTGAGATAGAATAGAAGGGTTTTGTATAGTTAATAGTAAATTTTCACTTTTTTCAGGATGATATCACATATCATGAACCTAACATTCAACAATCTGCGGCAGAAGCTCTTTTTTCAGCTCTCGAGGAAAATACGGAGTCATGTGGTGCAGTTTTGCAATCTTTGATAAACCTCTACACAGAAAAATCACATGTATGCTAGAAATATTCTCATATATCTCTCATAGTTATCTGGCAATACTGTCTTTTAGTTTGACTTCCTCGAATAAGGCTATATCCAATTATGCATTCCAGAAGAAATTTCATTAAGATTTCGGGACTAACTGATATTCATTCGATCATGATGGGTTGATCCAGTAGTATTGAAAAGTCTCAGCTTTTTTTCAAATTGTCGAAATTCATAGAAACGTGGTGTATTAATAACTTATCAACGCTGCGCAAAAATAATGAAAACACAATCAATATATTAAACACAAAATATTATAGAATTGCAATGATTTGCGCAATTAGACAATGAGAATGCACATTTAAATTAAATAGAGGTCTCAATTCTCATTCAATATTGCTCTCCCCCCAGGTGTATATGGTTATAAAGATACTTTGTTAACCCTCAACAATTGTGTGTTTTCAAGAAAACCTGAACTCACTTTGCTTCTAGCTTGTTTAACAATCTCCAACACTTACGCCCGCCCATACACCACTTGGAATGAACAATAGTGTTTTTGCAAAAAAAATTCAGTTCTTTTAAATCATTTTTAGCGACCACCTCCTGTTCTGGATGATTTGGGAAGAGTCATTTCGGAATCATCACCAGATGATTATCAATCTCGTGTTGGAATTGCCAAAGCTCTATGCAGCATTTCACCAGTGTTGTCAGACGATCAAATGCAACCATTATTCTCTTTTTTTGTGCCTGATGCATTGAAAGATAGACACGAAGAAGTAAGAGTTTTGTATGCATTTGCATTTGTATTTACAACCTCAACAGAATTTTTTCTGGTGTAAAATATAACAGTATAATATAATGTAATGGTTATAGCTTAATTATGTCGGCTAATAGATTTATTGTAGATAAATATATAACAATTTATTGGGAATTTCGATTATGGTAGTTGTTCCAACAACTACATGATATTTAAGCACACTTTTCAACTAGATTATATAAAGATCTGTGAAAAAGATATTACTAATGAAATTTGTGTTGTGTAAGATTTATGAAATAGTATTCCAAAATGTTTCTATATATTTAATATCCTAGATTTATTTTCAGTGTTTTATTTTACATGCACCAAATTGTCCAAGTATTTTTAAAAAATTATCTTTTTTCAGATTTGTATTATTGGGTGGTTACCGTTTAAGTCATTTTGTGCTGCATCACAGGTTTACTGCTCAATGTCAAGTTTAATATGTCAACTTTTGATGCAGTTTTCTGTTAATAAAAATTGATGTTATTTTTTCATAGGTTCGAGCTAACATGCTTGAAGCTGCATTGAAGTCAGTGAACGAACATGGAAAAAGTTGTACCAATACATTGATGCAAGTATTTGAAGATTTCTTAAAACAGGTATGGTTCTGACATGGTATTATAAAAGTAGACATATTATTCAATTTTATGCCTGCAATATGTTTGTTGACCAATTGAAGTCAACTAATTATTCATTTTGTCCCTATTTTTTTGGTATGACTGGTAAGTAACACTCAATATTCGCTTTTTTAATTATGTTCACTGTTAAGACAAAGTTGAGCTGACACTTGAAATCACAACTACTTGAAATCATATATTATGTCCGATTCGCCAAATGAAATATACCAATGTATTATTCTTGATCGATACCCAATTTAGTCTGTAACATATATTCAAATGCTTGAAAATTGTGTATAATTGTTAGTAATAAACTATTCTTGCCATCTACTAGTTCACCTAAAATGTGGCAAAAACTATCCATTTTATGGACATGGGCCACCCTGCGATGAACGGACCAGTGCTAAATCCTTGATTCTATGCTTGATGCGACAAGTAACAATGTTAATCAACTCTTTATTATTTTTCAGGCTCCTAATTCTGAAAGTTTTGATATTGTTCGTCAAAGTGTCGTTATTCTTATGGGAACTCTGGCTCGGCATTTAGACAAAGATAATCCTAGAGTGAAACCTATTGTTGCAAAACTCACAGAAGCATTGTCAACCCCATCACAACCAGTATGGCATTGAATATTTTTGAATATTGTTATTAGTTACAAGTATTGGGAATTTCTCCCAATGTCTTTAAATCATACGGAAGGTTTGAGTTGAATTCTAATCTCAATTTAAAGTTATTGGCTTGAGTACCGTGGAAATTTTTTGCAGAGTTTTTAAGTCTTCCTCCTGCACAAGGCTGAGTATAAGCAGACACTGGCACCCAAGGAGCTACAATTCTCCGGTTAACCAAAACGTTTCCCATTTGGCATTTATTTGAGTTGAATTTGATTATGTTAGGTTCGAGTGGTACTGCTTATTAACACTCATTGATCATTTTACTAAAATTGTCTCTGGAGGTATTTGACGATGATCAAAATGACTTAAATTGAAATTGATTCAAATTGAGTTTCTTACTTATATTTTAATTTTAGGTTCAAGAAGCTGTTGCAAAGTGTCTTCCACCACTCGTGCCTGCAATAAAATCCGACGCTCCTGATATTGTAAAGAAAATGTTGGTGATTTTATTGGAATCTGAAAACTATGGTGAAAGAAAAGGTAGTGAATATAGTTTTATATGTTATTGGTGGAAATATTTGATGTCTTTCTTGAATGATGGTTAACGTCAAATTTATTTGGTATTGCAACATTCTTAATAGATGTTGCAAAAAGTTTCTTATTTTTTATTCTGCTAATCTGTTTCTTGAAATTGGCACATTTGAAATTACTGTAAATGTTTCATTTATGTGCCCATCTTCAAAATCAAAATGTCCATTTTTACAGAAATTAATTCGAAGTTTAATCGAATTTAAGTATGGCATTTCTAATGTTATATATCTGAAGTAGACAAAGATGAAGTTATTCTAATCTTAACATAACCTCATTATTTCAAACACTACTGGCGGTTAATTTTTAAACCAGTTTCTCAGAACATGAACCCAGTCAAAGGGAGAATAATTCACCTGAAAAAGAATTTAGAAACGACCACCTAATATGCCAGACATAAAAATTTTCCATAAGGAAATTTGCTCGAAAGCATATTTATGCACACTCACTCAGAATAGAAGAAGACTCGCCCTTGAGGCAATTTGAGGATGACCACTGAATTTTCAAGAGCTACTGCATTACATGCCTATAAATGTCAATAAACATGAAAAAACTCAAATCAGTTCATGTCAATACAATCTGGATGTGAGCTAGTGAATTTCACATAACATGAAGTTGCCAGAGAAATAATTTTGACATCAAAATTTCTTTGTTTGTATTAGTATTCATTAAGAATGTTATCAGATATCAATTGATGTGAAATTAATAGCATTTCGGCAGGCCAACTGATAATAAACTTCAACATTCAGTTCTGGTCAATATTGGAATATTGCTTTAAGAATTCCATTTACCATAATTTCTAGGAGCAGCATATGGACTTGCAGGAATGATAAAGGGTCTGGGTATCATTGCATTCAAACAATTGGATATTATGAGCACATTAACTGAGGCAATACAAGACAAGAAAAACTATAGGCAAGTAATATGTTTGATTAAATTATAGTTTTATTTAAGCATATATATTATTAAAGTAATAGGGAATTAGTATTTATAATAGGTTGAGAACGTTGTTGATACGATATTCTAAAATTCTGTAGAAGGTTTAATGTCAGTTGTGCGTTTACTTATCATAGAGCTAACTATTGTTTGAATTTTCACAAGCAGTATTCAGTTTTGCATTCAAGCAGTATTCAAAGTCGAATCGATATTCATTATTCAAAATGGATTTGTTAGTTTCCATTTATTCTGTGGGAGAAAAAGGAGGATATGAAGTCCATCGAGTCCATGACAATTTAGTCATATGTCGAATCACAACCTCTGACTTGGTTACCTGTCCTGTTGGATATTTCTGATGCGTGGACTTGATTGTGGAGAAATCTGTAACCGACCAGTGGTCAGGTAAAACACCTTGCAACAACGAGTCCAGCAATCTATATTGCGCATATTTATCCCAAGCAGGGATCTAATCCCCACATGTAAAAGGAGTATAAAATTATTGATTGAAAATTAATATATTTAATATTATCACCCGTTTTTTATTTGATTTTGAAAAAAAAACATTGTACAAATGATTTATTAGATAATGATATAGAAAAAAATGATGGTATGATTGCGCAAAAATAATTCAACTATTTCAAAAATCAAAGCTGCTGGTTTCTGTATTTTTGTTATATTGCCTTTGACCTATCTGCAGGGCTGTAGGTTTGGAGTTTGGCATATATTGATATTAGAATAGTAGTTGAAGTCGTAGTTTCAATCTCCTTGTCAAAATTTCTGATAAATCAAAAATGGCCAACAGGCCAACCGGAATGTTTGACTAAGCATTTACAGGAGGGAAATAAAGTAGGCTTGCACATACTAATAAAAGTTTTCATTGCTAAACTTTGGTTTTCTTGCAGTTAGGAGGTTTTGTCAAAATGTTAGTCAATCGGGAGTTGGGGGCAAAATATTTTACTAATTGCTTTAAATTTGGAATCGAATCTTTGAATAACTATCTCCATAACTTATCTCCATATCAGGTCTTGGTTATTACTTCAAAAGAAAATGACAGATTAATATTCACCAATTAGATGACCTCACTATGCATATTGCCGGATTTTTACAGGATTAAATTTAATTTGGTTTATTCTTATTTCAGGCACAGAGAAGGTGCATTGTTTGCATTTGAAATGTTTTGTACAATGTTGGGACGATTATTTGAACCTTATGTTGTTCATGTACTTCCATATTTACTGCTTTGTTTTGGTGATGGGAATCAGTACGTTAGAGAGGTATTAAATTTCTTATAAAGTAATGAGGAATGATTCGAGGAAAAGCGTTTTGACGCTTTTCACTTTAAATTAGGCTCTTTCAGAGCATCCACTGATATCTATTAATATGCTATTTTGTTGTATTACTGTTTTGGTAAGCTGACTCACACTAAGGTTGGGGCCAAAAGTGAGGAAATTTTTGAATTGAGGTTCCATTACTCTAATTCTTATAAATTTCTATAGGCTGCGGATGACACTGCGCGGGCTGTAATGAAAAATTTAAGTGCTCACGGAGTCAAACTTGTACTTCCTTCGCTCCTAAGTGCACTCGAAGAAGATTCATGGAGAACTAAAACTGGATCAGTTGAACTGCTCGGTGCCATGGCATATTGTGCTCCTAAGCAACTCTCATCTTGTCTACCAAGTGTTGTACCAAGATTATGTGACATCATTACCGACTCACATCCCAAAGTTCAGAAAGCAGGTAGGCAATTTGCTTTTTTTAAATTGAATCGGATTGCTATTTATTCCATTGGATTCTTATCTTTCACTGGAATATGTTTAGAAAATTATTATAATTGAACCCTTTCAAATTATCTTCATTAATGGACAAAATGGAATTCTGCTATTTTTTGACACATTGTATCATAAAAACGATATATGAGGTGCATGAGTTACATAAAACGGTACTCCCGTAGTATGTGTACCAGGTTAGGATTAGGCCATAATTTTTCCCGATTTTCCTTATTTTAGTTCTATTACCAGTTCGGGGACTGTTTGTGTTAGCCAAGTGGATATACTCCTGCCCTGCCAATAGACATCCGTTTCTTTACACAATTTGATGTAACGTAGGCGAACAAAATTAGTTACCTCCATATTGGTACACATACATCTGGAGTGGATGGATTTTTCTTTATGCAATATAGAATTCAAATATGGAATGTTAGTGTTTCGTCTGCAACCACTTTTTATTATTCTATAGATAGCCATTTGCAGAATTATATTAATTAGATAAAACCGATTTTCTTTTTAAATTTCAGGTCAGCAAGCTTTGAAACAAATTGGATCAGTTATTCGAAATCCTGAAATTTTATCTATTGCACCAGTATTGCTAGGTGCACTGAGCGATCCCTTCAGGAAAACTTCAAAATGCCTACAAACCCTACTGGACACAAAGTAAGCTTGTTGCTTAAATTATTTTTTTGTTTTGCAGCCACAATTGTTTAGAATAATTTCCCAATCAAGTTGTGGTTGAAATTAAAGCCTCTATCAGTGCTCACTTTAAGGAAATTATGAGTGCGAAGGTGCCTCGCAGTTGATAAAAAAAGTGTGAAAGTGCCCTTGTAGATTTTAACAAATTAGGTTCCCAAGCTTTTGTTTTAACTCTTCTAAATGCCATATGTACTCGAAAAAGTGCTCTGCCCATTGAAACAATGGCTGTAACAAGTATAGTAAAGTAAACTTGTTTGGTATAGCAAAAGTATTGGCAAGTACTACTTGTCAACTTGAATTTTTTATAATATACCCCCTGCCCATAGGTTTCAGTCGCTTTATACAACATGATGTAAAAAAAGGCAAACAAAATTAGTTACCTCCTCCAACTTGGTACATACACTTCTGGAGGGCCAAAAAGTGAGCTAATAGCGAACACTGGCCTCTACACTGATATACAAGAATGAGAGGCTTGTCATTAACCTAAAGTTGAACATAAATTTAATGGATTTTTCACTTATAAGCTCTTGTTATATATTCCTATGTATTTTTAAAGATTTGTTCACTTCATTGATGCACCATCATTAGCTCTTATTATGCCCGTTGTTCACCGAGCTTTTGAAGATAGATCGACCGATACCAGGAAGATGGCTGCTCAAATTATTGGAAACATGTATTCTTTAACCGATCAAAAGGTTTGTGTTGATCCTCCTTTTGTATTGCAATATGTTTATACATTTTTAGCTGAATCTGTGTGCTGGATTAAATAATAGTGAGTAAAAAATTGTACAATAGATCTTCCTTGGCTTTTATTATTTCTACCTTTATATTTCTTTGTTTACAATACACTTGTTGGAATATGTGGATATGCATGATGGTCTAGTGCTGCGATTCCTAACTGTGATAAGGATATTTATAAGGTTGTGTGGTGTGGTAATTTCAAAGGATATTTCACTTTGTTGAGCATTAATTGTTTGAACATAATGGGATTTGGTATCTATCAATCAAAATAACACTATAAATACCACTGAAATGACTAACAGGGGGCCATGAGTGCCCAAAAGCCTCCAAAAGACTTGGAAGTATATTGGAATCGCTGATAAAAAAAATTTGTTTCAATCCCTCGGCCCTAATTCACCCAAGGTGTACTGAATTGGTTTGTAAAGAGCCATGAAGCCTTACTCATCATAAGCATGTTGGGTCTTCATCAAAGCACCATTAATCATAGCAGGATAGTATTTCCAATCTTATCCCCGGGTAAAAAAAACGATGAGATAGCTTACAATTTGTAATCATATGTCGAACTACAGCCTTTTGTCTACTCAATAGCCCACGTCTGGTATAGAAATAGTTCACCATTTTAGATGCATGTACTTGATGGTTGAGGAAGGCCTAACTGACCAGCCACAGGCAACTTGCATATAATTATCTTCCATTGGAATTAAAGCTACAATCTCTCACAATGTACTCAAGCATGCACTAACCATTGAGCTAAATTAGTAATTCTTTCCCCACTCTCTCAGGATCTCAACCCTTACCTTGCTGCTGTGGTACCAGGACTGAAGAATACGTTGTTAGATCCAGTTCCAGAAGTGAGGACGGTTGCTGCAAAAGCACTGGGAGCAATGGTGAAGGGAACTGGTGAATCTTTATTTGAAGATTTATTACCTTGGTTGATGGAAACCCTGACTTCAGAGCAAAGTTCTGTGGACAGGTAAATCATGAAATTTTATACATATGGTAGGAATTTAATATAAGTGAAAATATGGACATCATTAAGCGAGTAGTAGTTGGAAGGGGATTTGTTTGGTATTTTTCTTCATAAACGCTAATTTTTGTCAAATTTTTTGAACAAACTTTTCCAAATTTTTCATGTTTCAATGGATCTTAAATAATAATACAGTTTTTGACAATCCTCTATGTACCGAGGTACAGTTTAATTTCTACATGCATGGGGACAGTCAAAAATAATAAAAAAAAATCAACTCAGAATAGGAATGATTGATTTGAATATTCTGTTATTTCAGATCTGGTTCTGCACAAGGATTGTCTGAAGTTCTCGGAGCACTGGGTGTTTCTAAGTTAGAAAAGTTAATGCCTGATATAATCAGAATGGCAGGATCTGCTGATGTTTTGCCTCATGTTCGAGATGGCTACATTATGTTGTACATTTATTTACCATCAACATTTGGAGATGATTTCACACCTTTTATTGATGCCATTATTCCCGCATTACTTCAGGTAAACAGATTGTTATTTACTCATGTGGTGAGAAATTTCTCAAAGCAATGAGTAGGTAAAATTATAAAAGCAAATTATTTGAGAAGAGGGCAAAGATGTCAAATTGAAATGTAAAAGAAATCAATATTCCATATTCGGCATTTTGGTAATATCTGAAATCGAGTTTATCTTTTCAATTTAACTGGAAAAGAAACTAGCCATGGTTAAATTTTACCAATTAAAGAGAAATTTTGGTTAGTTATTTAAATATTATATAAGGTGTCCATAAAATCTTAAAAATTTTTTAAATTGCAAAGGGAATTTATTGCTATCATATATTGTTTTGGCTGATTGATTGAATTACTGGTTAAAAAATAACAAACCTGGTTAAGATATATTGAGAACTGACTTCATAACAAAATTGAAACTGTAAATAGACTTTATGGACACCCTGTGTTATTTCAGATTTTTGGGACAAACCTTAGCTCTCGTCTGATTCCTCACTCATAGATTCGATTCACGCATAGTTAACTAACCAGTTACATATTCTAAAGGCCATGACTACAAGCATTTAGATGTGCCAATGCAAATCAAGAGCAGTTAGACTGACTTTCAAACATATTATTTCCAGATTTGGAGAATTAACTTATGTTTTTGAATAACTAATATCACGTTACCTATTTTTTCAAGTCTTTAGCCGACGAATGTGAGTTTTTGCGAGACACAGCTTTGTTGGCAGGACAAAGAATTATTGGAATGTACGCTCAACAGGCCGTAGCGTTACTTCTGCCCCAACTTGAAAGTGGGCTGTTGGATGATAATTGGAGGATTAGGTAAATGGTTGTGGATTGTTTCATGGAAAATCGAAATATAGTAAATTTTAATAATATTGTAACCAAATCTCTATTTCAGCCATCATTGTGATAAGGGTATGGAGATAACTAACTAGTCAGTTCACCTCTGAAAATTTATGTATGGCCGAGAACAATTTAACTAATTTGAGATTCCGGAAATCATCTTATTTTATCATGCAATATTTTTCTGAATATCCACTACCGGTAGTTATTTTCCGACTATCTAATCAAAAATATAGATTTTAGGTAAGTTAATAGGGATCGTATTTCCATCTTATATAGTTAATGTGGATATGTCCAAAACAGTATACAAATATGGTATTCCTTGATTTTTATTTACTTGTTATGTTTTAAAATGACAACCGTTTGATACTTAGCATATGAATGTTTTTGCAGGTTGAGTTCAATTCAGTTGCTTGGAGAACTCTTATATCAAGTATCGGGAGTCACCGGTAAAATGAGTACTCATGGTGAAGAGGACGATAATTTTGGTACAATGGAGGGACAGAAGGTAGGTTTTGTTGGTGTTGGAGATGTCTGAAGAATTAAGTTGGATAAAATTTACCGGTGCTTTTCCAAATTAGATATTTTTGAATATTATAGTAATTTAATTACAAATAATTTGTACATTTTGTTATGTTACTAATTATTATTTTTTTAAATTTTGGATGATTTCATTTTCATGATATTCATTCTTAATGAGGTTCTAAGAAAATAATGACTCATTTGTACAGAACTATTATGGTTAGGCGGAGCTTGGATACCCAATCCATTACTACTGGGTTATGTGGGGTGATCACTAAACATTCATTACCTTGTGTGTTGTCAGCATGTCTACTATAGTTAGCAAAATTATAGTGGCATTCAAATGCCACCGAATATAATAAAACTAATCGTTTCATTTCAGGCTATTAGAGAGGTTCTTGGTGATGAAAGATGCCAACGAGTGTTTTCTGGACTTTATATTGGAAGATCAGATGTTATGCTGCAAGTACGACAATCGGCATTACATGTTTGGAAGATTGTTGTACCAAATACACCAAGAGTGCTTCGTGAAATTCTACCAGTCTTGTTTGAACTTTTGCTCGGATGTTTGGCTTCTTCGAGTTACGATAAAAGACAGGTAGGATATATGTGGAATTTTGGAGCAAATACTAATTCTTTTAGTTTTGAACAGCAAACCTGACAGGACTCCATCGTGCTACTGCTAAGCGTTAGGAATACGCTCACCATCAAACCTCTGATTACTTTGTGTGTGGGTTCTCTGGACCATGAAGTCCATGCTTCCAAAAATAAGTACCTAACTACCATAATCCCATACCCGACATGGAATGGTAACCAAACGAGAGGCCGTGGTTTGCCATATGCTGTCTTGTCGGCTCTCCACTCCCCCGGGATAAATATGTAAATCCTATTCTATGTCTTGTTCAGGTCAGAATCAGTAATAGTTAACCAGTACAATTTGTTCTAATCAAGAAGTGAAATTTACTATTAGTAGGTTGCTTTACTGATCTTGTTGAGTTGTATTGCTCACAGTCTGCCGAACTACCCCTAGATGAAACATATTTTCTATGCAATTCATGTTGTGATTAGTTATAATTTTGTGTCTAATTTACGGCAGAGTAGCCAATCTGCTTTAAATTAGACTTGAAAGTATTACAAGTTATTAGATATTTTGAATTCTCTGTTAAGGTTGCAGCAAGAACACTTGGTGATATAGTGAGAAAACTGGGTGAGAGAATGTTGCCTGAAATTATTCCAATACTTGAAAGTGAACTGGAATCTGAGGACGAAGATCAGAGACAAGGAGTTTGCATCGGCCTTTCTGAAATTATTAAATCATGCAGCAAAGACGCGGTATGGGGATTATTTTGTTTTCAATAAATTTTTTTTTTTTTGAGATACAAACTTGGGAATTGTCTATTAATTGAATAATGAGATGCTTGCCGTTACTTGAAGATAATGAATCAGTAAGAGTTGTTCAACATTCTGACTCTTGTAATCATTTTTTGAAAGTTTCGGGTATCCTGCAACCTTTGTTCATTCCACTTATTTGCAAAATCAATATCATATAATAATAACTTGAATAGTTCATGGATAAATATGCCAATCCTGGCTTAGTTAGGTTGTTGTCTGCGAGAACAATATTTCAAAATCTTTAGCAGCCCCTTGGGGAAGTTGTTTATGCTTCTTCAGTGATGAAGATATCAATATTTAAAATTGTTTTTTTTCTAGATTTTGACATTTTCTGATAGTCTTCTACCAACCGTTCGCAAAGGTTTATGCGATTCACATCCAGATGTACGAACAGCTGCTGCAACAACTTTTGAAAATCTACATGCAGCGATCGGACAACAAGCTCTTGAGGAAATTCTACCAGATCTGCTGGAGAAAATTGGTAATATATCTAATTCTTTTGTTACATGTATGTTAACTGAAGTTTCAAGGCAATGCCAGATTATTTTATTGTAATGTCGTATTTTGGATTTCGCAGTATAAAAAAGTAAATTTGGGCCAAAACCAATTTGAAAGACTCATACAAAAACTTCTTTAGAATTTCTGATATTCCAAATTACTATTTCGCCACAATTTTTTTTAATTTGATTTTAGAATTGACTAGAATCAGTTTCTTCAAATCTATTATTTCTATTACTTGTAATGGGTCTAGGTTTCAAATTACTCTACATTATACATTTAATGGATACAGATGTTAATATCAGAACTGTCATGAAAATATTAGTTACTTGCCATTTTACCTCAAGTTTCAAAAGCTACAATACATGTAATATTGTGTGTTTTCCGGATGTGGTTAATAGTTATTTTACAAAAGGCTTGATAAAAGCTCACCAATGATTTAAATCATCTCAAATGTCAAATAATTGGCCTGTACTGTCGTTCTTGAAACAAAATTGAAGTTTTGCTCTGCTGCTCTTTTTTTATTAAATTCGTGACTTTGGTGTTTCATGAGTTTTGACTGTATTTTTAAAATTTAGGTGATCCTGAAATATCAGAATATATTGTGGATGGATTACGTCAAGTTATTGCTGTTAAAGGAAAAGTTGTGTTGCCTTTTATTGTGCCGAAGGTGAGCAAATTTAGAATAACTCTGTATTAACAAAACTCAGCTTGTATGTCGATCATACCTTTGAAATGAAGATACCTGGTAATGCAATGAGTTGTTGTAAATCAGGGGTGTGCAACAGGGGGCTCGCGAGCCACAACTCGGCCCATTAAGCCATTCAGTGTGGCCCTTGTCAACTCTCAGATTTTTTCCAATTAACCATTAAATCCCAATCCGGTTTATTTTGTTTGAAAAGGCGCTCACATTAATGTTTTTTTCGTTTTTGTCGCTGAGTCAAAACTTCCGAATGGAACTCATTAAACTGCAGACTGATATGGAAACCAAGAGAAAATATCCTGTAAACAGTTTGGTAGATTTTCACAATTTGTGCGTGAGAAATATTCTAATTTGTCCCGTCATGCAAAAAGAATGACCTCCCTTTGGTAACTTACTGCTGTGAACAATTTTTTTCCAAAATGAAGCTCACCAAAAGGGGTGTATAAGTCAGTTAACTCATGAACATTTACTACGAACCTTTTTGTGTGGCCCAGCTGGATGCTGTTAGTTACTCCTCCTTATACGAAGTTAGTTATATAGCCCACCAACAAAACAATGTTGCACACCCCTGTTGTAAAAACACAGCAAAAAGTGAGAGAACTGTATTGAATTTATAATTGTGCCAATATAGTAATACACTTTATCAACTGAATAAATTGATAAAGATAACATATATAAAAAATCGTTGTTGATTCTCCAAGTGTAGTAATGCCGGACAACATTGCCCAATAACCCAGATAGGATAATGCAATAGAGATAGAATTTGAAGCAATTTCAATGTAAATTTTTTGAGGTATGACAATTATTTCGTTACTCAAATGCTCAAATGCTTTCGATACTCAAATGATATTATAATATTTCATTCCAACTAAATAATGGTTTGTTTTTACAGTTGATAGAACCACCAATCAACACTCGTGTATTATCTTTCTTGTCTGCTGTAGCTGGAGAATCTTTAACAAGACATCTGGCTAAAATTTTAAAGGTTCGTGGGATATTAAATCATTTCCTTCACTAGTATTAATAAGGTTTTTTAAATAGTTGTTTGATATTAAATTGAATTCATTGTTTTGTATGTTTTAAAGAGAATGAATTACTGGAATTGAGAATTGTACCTTGGTTATTTTTAAAAAAAAAATTCGCTATGATTTATGCCAAGTTTCTGGAGTAAAATATTAGTCTCATTCTGCCTATTGTTCGTAACCCGCTCACCGCTGAAGCAATGATCGCATGAGGCTACAGATTTGAGTTGTTTGGTCGAGTGAAAGAATGCTGCTGTGCTAGGGGGGTGGTTTATTTAGCTGTTGTTAGGGATTTACTTATGCCCATGCTTATGCACTACTTTTCTAATTATCATGCCTAACCTGCATGTGAGAGTCTGTGACTTGATATATTAGGATATTAAGTCCTATCAACTTTCCTCTCCTCTGAAATAAATATATAAATTTTCTCTCATTATATTGCATTAGTTTTGCAGAAACCTAAAATCGAATATATACTTTTTCAATATAACAACTAATTATTCTTTAACTTCCAAGTAATGAAAATATACATTTTTATGAAAAATTATAACTATATTTATAGGCACTTTTGTCAGCACTTGTTGCAGTTTCTGACAACGAGGAAACGTACGCCACAACATTGTCTGATTGTGAGGGTGTTATTTTAAGTGTTGAAGGGGAACATGGTACTCGTATTATTATGGATGACCTTCTTGAAGCAACAAAAAGCGATGATAAAAAAATTAGACGAGCTGCTGTCACAATGTTGCATGCTTTCTGCAAGGTATGTATAATGTTAGTTGGGAGGTTTGTTTTGTGTGCTGGAGAAAACTTAATTTTGCCATGTAAATATAATAAAAAAAATCATAGGAATAAAATGTCTCAATAATTTCACTACTATTAATCATTTAATAGTAATGAAATAGTAATTTAATAGTAATAGTAATTTAATATATCTGTTAAAAAATATTAATCATGTAATTCAAGGATGTAACTCCATATTCACAGATTTTTAGACTTTAGAATTTCTCAAGCAAGTTGTGAATGATCTATTCGGAATTCTGCAGTAAAATCATAATATATAGCAGCCGTAGCAGGGCTACTCAACTATTTCTACCGAAGATCCGCATACAAAACTTCAAAATTACCGTGTCCCGACTAATTGCTCGACCGACTAATGATTATCAGCTGATAAAGAATGATTATTATGTTATAGTTCTTTTCATATATATTCAAAACAAGAAAAGTCATTTCATAAAATGTAACTTTAAAAGTGGGGCTAATGATCCAAAATAAAGAATTAGGTGCGGACCAATTCGAATACTCGAATGGTCTGGATGCGGACCGCAGTCCGCCAGTTTAGTAGACCTGATATATAGGAATCATTCTGTAGGCGAATTTTCCAAAATTTCAATGTTCCCCAAAGTTGGTTGTTGAATAATCTTTGTTGAATATTTATCAGGTACAAGTATTATCAATTTTTTCAGGACACAGATTCAGATTACAGCAGCTATGTTGCCATTTTTATTCGTGTTTTCTTCAAATTAATGGCAGACGAAGATCAGTCTGTTCAAGAAGAAGCCTGGTCTGCATTATCTGCTGTTGTAAAATGCCTCGATGCCGCAGAACAATTGCAACATGTTAGTTCAGTCCGACAGGCTATTCGATATATTTCTGATGAAATACGAGCCAATGGAGGAATTCTACCTGGATTTTGTCTTCCTAAAAAGGTGATTATTGAATTTATATATATATATTATTAAATTATGTTAGCATACATGAATGATCATATCTTACAGAATCTATTAATCACGCAGTATGGCTAGTAAGACATGTACTTACTATCTGTATTTGTTTAATAAAATATAGATATTTGTATCAAAATGGAGTGATTTTTGCTTCATTTTTGGACACTTAATTTTTAATCATTTTTCTTTAGGGAATGACATCTGTGCTTCCAATACTTCGAGAAGGAATACTCAATGGAGCTCCAGATATGAAGGAACAGTCAGCAAAAGCATTGACAGAGTGCATTCAAATTTTAACTCCAATCGCATTGAAGCCGTCTGTGGTGACAATCACAGGTATATGCATTCTCCTTTGCACAAATGTATTTATTGAAATTATTTTCAACTATAAAATTGTTTTGGGCATTTGTAGGAACTATCAAAGTTTATGAAGTAAGATGCCATATAATTTAGTATGTTCCAAATTAAAATGGATTTTAGAGAAACTTGTTTAGCGAAAAACTTTATCGACTGTTTTTTTCGCATGAAGTTGCAAAATATTTAAATGCGTTTAGCCTTTGTTCAATTTTTATTTAAAAATTATTATTTTCTCACTTTGATGCAACGTAATATTTACGCCATAACATAGATAGTATTGCTTGAATTGTCATGCTTTTGATGTGTATGGAGGTTTCAAATTTCATTATTTCAACTCCAGGTCCTTTGATCCGAATTCTCGGAGACAGATTCAACGCAAATGTACGAGTCGCTGTTTTGGAAACTTTGACACTTCTCCTGGAAAAGGTCTCTATTACCTTATTTTTTGTTTTAAAAATTTGATTGCCTTTCATCCTCAATGTCTGATTGAACCATGTATACTAAATTACACCATTATCCGAGGAGGTAATTGATGAAGTAGTGACCGTCCCCTTAATGGTATATTTGCTGTTTTTATGTCCTATTGTCTATTTCAAATCATGTTACTATGCAACCAAAGCATTGCTTATGTGCAACTATAATTTTCATGTACATTATTCAATTTAATTTTTGGGGCTCCCGAAGTATGCGAACCAAGATGGCGGACATCGGAATGTAATATGTGTACTAGGTTAGGGTTAGGCCATATTTTAAAAAAATTATCGCCTAACCCTAACCTGTTACCCATGTTACGTTCCGATGTCCGCCATCTTGGTTCGCATACTTCGGGAGCACCCAATTTTTTTTTATTTACTAAATGCTTTCCAATTTTATAAATGTTTCACCAAACACATAGTATACTTAACGCGTTGGATTCATTGTAGGCCGGTGCGTTTTTGAAGCCATTTTTGCCTCAACTTCAAACCACATTTGGAAAAGCACTTCATGATGCAAATCGACCTGTCAGACTTCAATCGTCGAAAGCACTCAAACATCTTGTTTTGATTCATACAAGACTCGATCCATTGTTCACAGATTTAAACAATAACGTAAAAACAGAGGATGATCCTCTGATCAAGTAAGTGAATGTTGATACCTTTTCACTAGATTTGAAGATTCCTAGTTTGCGATTTTAACAAAACTTCTACTCCTTTTCTCTATTTCTTTCCAATTTTAGAAGTTTATATTTATCCCACTCATGTTTTTGGTTACAATTTCGAATCAACTTTTTATTTTTAGAGAAACAATGCTTCAAGCATTAAGAGGTTGTATTCAAGGTGCTGGAGCGAAAATCAATCCCAAAATACAGAATGAAGTAAGATATGTTTGAATAAAAATAGTCCATTTTCATTTGAAGAAACTTGAATTTTCTAAAAATGATCAATAAAGCAAATAATACAAGTCCCTTTGAGTTCTAGAGACAAGGTTATTCAGGATTAAAGACTTTTTTAAAGTTAAGATTTCATCATGTCAGTGGTGGATATTCATGTGAGAGAAATTATCATATTAGAAGTTAGATAGGTCAGTAGCAGAGTTCAGATTTGGGTTCTCCGGAAGTATGTGTACCGGGTTAGGGTTAGGTCATAATTTTATTCAAATTTTCCTTATTTTAGTTCTGTTAAGAGTTCGGGGGACTAGCCAAGTGACTCCCGTCACATTGGTATCTGAAATTATGGCCTAACCCTATCCTGGTACACATACTACGTTCTGGTGTCCGACATCTTGGTTCACATACTTCGGGAATACCCAGATTTGCCAAGTTGGTTTCATGACAATATGAATTTGAACTGTGTCAAGTCTCTGTTGCAACGATGTACATGTGTGTGTTACTCCATGTATGTTATTTCAATTCTTTGATTACTCAGTCACTGCTTTAAAAATTCATAGTTGAAATATTTATGGCTTCATTATAGAATATGCTTTTATATATACTGTACATTGTGGGAAATCCTCATGTACATGGTCTACTAGGTTTCAATTTTCTGGTAACAATTGACAACATAGTGATTCTACACAGTTAATTCTCAATTTCCATCTGTTTTTTTTTCAGATTTCATCAACATTAACTTCATTACTTGGTTCAGAGGAAGAGATGATCAGTAAATGTTCAGCAGGATGCTTAGGAACATTGTGTGCATCTCTACCTGACAATCTACTTGACGATCTTTTGAAGAATCAAGTCTTAGGTAAAAATAATTCAAGTATTCATAAAATAGCATTGTGTGAAACTCTATTTACTATTTGCTTTTTTAACATGTTGTTTTCACCTTTATTCCCATGTCTCATACAGTTCTATCGGTCATTGGGGCGAGATTAGTGTGAAAAATGATGCGGGTCAAGTGCGGCACACAGGTGATTCTTCGCACAGAACTGATAAATTTTTAAACAGCAAAATGACTCGAAATATTGATGATTTACAATATGACTTGCATCATTTGAAGCGAAATTTTTGTTCCCATAGTCAATCATACAGCCTATTTGACGTACTGCACTGTTCACAATTTTTGATTATTTTCAGTTGACTTTTTTTTCACTGACACCAAACGGAAATTGAAACAAAATTAGTAAACCAAGTTGTTTTTTTGTTTAGTTAAATCTCACGATGCATCGTGGCCTCTGCGACAAGGTCGAAGTGCACTTCTCGCTGTCGCTTTAAAGGAATCTCCCGAAAAAATTTTCACAGAAGATAGGGAAGATGCAACACTTTCAACGATGCTCGATTGTGCTAGTCTCGACAGAGTAGGAAATTTAATATGAATGTTATCACCATTTGTTAGTGAAGATACTGTTGATATGCGGGATAAATTGTATACACCTTGTTTATTTTGCTAACCAATCATGGGGCAATATGTGCTCTTGTCAAAACTGACTTCTGTCATGTGTGTATTCGGTTCTCTTACCTAGGGATGTCTATTTATTAATGTAGCCTCACGAACAAAACTTTGCACGTTGTAAATAACTCCCAGATAATAAATGTTGGTTGGTGTTTCTTGTTTCGTAGATGTTGATTTAAGTATTTTCTGTCTTCCTCTGTCATTAGTTTGAGATTTTAATATTCCCTGTTTCAATGGTTGCTCTTATCAATGCGCTTCTATTTCCCCATATACCATGTAAAGTAGACATGTTCTTGACCCATTATTTTCTGTCATACAATTTATGGAGCGTTATGTCAACTTATTAATATCAAATTATTACAAGGAAAGAAGTTATTGCATATATACATTTAATCAATGCGATAGTTGAACTATTTAATATACAACTGCTTAGTGTCTGATATCGCCAGTTATATTTCTATCTAATCGTTATTTTTGACACATTTTATCATTTGATGGTTTTTAAGTTTTAAACAAGGGCAGATAAGTTTTTTTTAAAATGAATCAATATTACATGGCACACTCGATGCAGTTTGGTAAGCACACTCAATGCAGTTTAGTAAACAATGCTGTAAAGCAATTGTGAAATAATCACTTTTTATGCAGGTGCAAATTGTGACGAACGGAGTTCATGCTGCTGCTTATGCACTCGTTTACTGTGTCCAGTCATCCAGAAAAGTTCCAAGTCAAATAAACGAAACATTTAAGAAGGTACGAATTTAAAAATTCTCATTTTTATAATGAATTATTGAATGATTGCTGTTTCAACATTGTTGCAATGGGGAGTGGTAGGAATGGCTCACTTTTTCCATGGTGCGTATTCTACTACTAAGTTTCATTAAGATGTTTGCAGCTTAATAACTTCCTTGTCTTCTATGTCAATGTGGGGTCAAAAAATCTCTGGTTAAATGCCATCCCCCCACCCGGGGCGGAATAAATTGGGTACACACTGCTGAACTAAAACGATCTATTAAAGAAGGCTTGCTTCAGTTTTTGATATAGAAATTTGAATTTCTCTGAGTTTGGAGCAGGAGTCAAGGTCAAAATTTGGTAGAACTAGAGTAGGGTTCGAAATTTTTTTAGTTGAAGACTTGAAATCCTGAGTCTAATATTTTTCAGAAAGGATCCAAAGTTTGTTGTAAATTTTCCATGGTGCAACAGCGCTGGTAACTATATGTAAGTAAGCTAGTAAGTGGTGCAACACAACTAGATTGCCATTTATTTGTTAACAGAAGGATCATGGCTCTTTTGTTGAAATTAGCATGTTGCCGAAATTCTTATCCTCTCTTTATACAATTTTTTATGAAATATTTTACATATTTTTAGGCTTTCCAACACAACTCAAATGATGTTAAAGTTGTGGCTTGTACTTCCGCTGCATGGGCTGTCAATCAAATTAATACATCAGGAAGAACAGATGCCACGACAAATGGACACGGTGGTAAGGCTTCACGACTTTTACTTTTTGGAATCATTTTGTTAGCTATTATTTATTTTCTCCATGAATCTCTCAGTTTACTTGTGCAAATTCGAGTGTGTGGCAATATCTTTTATTTCGGTGGTAAACAAGTACTTCATGTATGGTTATGAGCAAGAAATGAATATTTTCAGTTAGGTATATTCAACTGACTCTTATGTGCATTCTGGAACATAATTGGTTCCATATAATAGTGTTATTATATTTCATTCCTAATATGAACTCTGTTTGACTGGATTCATCAGAGACCGTAGGTGTAGTCCTTACAAATTGTGAAAGTCCCTGAGTCGAGCCACAGCACTTTTGAGTCACAAGTCATAGTAATAAACATCACAAATATGATAACGCTTCTCGTAACTGCCCGATTTGTAATCCGTGTCCCCGATTTGTGCCTACCGTTTTCATAAACACCCTCAAGGTACGTTTTTACTCAACTTCAGAAATCGTTGGTCAGGGTGAATTGCTTCACTGAAAGTGTTTAAAAGGTGACTCAAGACTCCCAATGATTAATATTTTATTTAACTTTGTGTATTATTACCAAGTATCTTGGAAGTATGCATTGCTATACCAGTGATGGAGTTGATCAGTGACCATCATTATAATTTTTTCATTTTATTTAGGTTCTATTGTTCCTATACAAAATCTGATATTTTTCGTAAGTCAACTTATCGTGATAACCAAAGAAAAAAATACGACCGTTCGATCATCTGCTGAATATGCGATAATTACGGTCTTATCACTTCGACAATCGGAAGAAATTTTGAAGGTATGTGTTGTTACTTGTTATAGTGCTATTTCTTGACCAAACATTACGAGTTTTCTCATAACCTACATTGGAAACGCACACTTTTAATTTGGTTGTTGATGTTATATGGTTTTGTTTGACCAGTCATCTTGCCTAATACGCAACTGGGCGAAAGAATTTAGCATAAAGAACTAGTCTGCCATGTTACAAGTTACTCAGCATTACTGTATTTGAGAAGGTTCGAAGTTCGAACACACATGATGGCCAGCTCAGATAACAAGTCGTGTGTTTCATCAATATATTTTTGCCGTGTTGTATTTTTGCAGGAGGTTTCAGCATCGTTGCCATCCAGGGATGTGTCATCGTTAGCAGAACTACAAAAAACAAAATTCAAAAAACTGATTGCTGCCAAAGAAATCATAGAAGATATTGATGACACATTAATCACAAAATAAAACAATAATAAGCAGAGGAAGTTTATATATTTGTTGTTGAAATGCTAATATGGATCAGGAAATTCTTTGATGGTGTATAATCCAAGTTTTCACAATGAGAGGTTAAAATCCAATTTGAAACCAATGAACAGAAAATAGTATAGCTTCACATGGACTAACTAACTTTATAGAATTTGTCCTGCGGATTTGGAATTCCTATAAATACATTTTTAGAACCCATTGTCATTGTTGAATTATGTTGGGATTTTGTATCTAGTGGGTTTTAAGATCTCTGCTTTTGTTGTTGAATAATTTGTATGGTATGAGATTATCAAAGTTCCCATTTCATCCGTCAGACAATGTAGTGTGATTATTTGCCGAATTTTGTTACAATACTTAAATTAGGTAATATATGACTCTTCAGGTGATCGCTAATTGTTTATTTAACGTGATTAGTGAGGCCAGATCACTGTAAATTAGCGATAAAGCTTCAACTCGCAAACATGATTTCATTTGTGTGACGAAGCAAGCAAGATCAATTCATCGTTGTTAGACTTCCAAGGTGTCGGTCAATTAACTCCTGAATTGTAAAATATGTGCGATTCGATTGTTATGCATAGCAGCAATGATTTTGACTGCCGTTTTATGCTACCCCTATGTAAGAATGACTGAGTTGTTTTGCAATATTTTGATACAGAAAGAAATAGCCATTGTTGGTGACATGCTGTAGAATAGGGCTACTCAACTATTTTGACCAAAAGTCTGTTTAGAAAACTTTAAAATTACTGGGGTCCGGATACAGAATATTTTTTTCATTAAATAATTGAAACGTCAAATGATGGCTCACAAATGTCGCATATTGCGACAAACTGTATAGATGTGTATTTAAATTGTATCAAAATCATCTAAAACTACCAAACAATGCTTATGCTGCCAAAATAAACAAGCAGAGGCGGTCCAAATTAAATGGTCGAAAGATCCGGATTCAGACGGCGGTCCGCCAGTTGAGTAGCCCAGCTGAAAAGCATAAGTGTGCAGTATCAAAACGCTCTTCCAAAATGTAAGTCTAGCTAGAATAGGACATTACTAACCTCGCGTATGACTTGGTTCTTAATGTGAATTTGAAAAAACAATCATAAGTTTTGTTATTCATGATGTGATGAGAAAGGAAAGTGACTGAAAGCATTAGGTTGTGGATGAACACTATGCGGGAAAAAAAAGAAGTCAATACAAGGCATTACCCAGTAAAAAGCAAAGTGTTGAAATATCCCCAATAGTAGATAAATCTATACCAGTGCTTGTCAATTGGATGTATAGTACGAGTACCCTTGGCTAGGGTCTACCACATCGTTAAGGTGCACGATATGCTAGTTCTAAATGTATTCTATCCAATTGAAGAGTCCAGCTGCAAACTAACACAAATTTGTGTTAGTGCGCAGCTGGAGTCTTCAATGGGATAGAATAGTCATGTTTATTCCAGCTACAGTATACGCATACGGATCCACTAGCATAAAGGCATAGAGAAAAGATAGGAAGTTAGTCTCGCGCAACCCAACTCAAATTTATCTAAATGTATTTGTTGAGAATTGGCAACCTGTCACAAACAAGTAAAGCAACATATGTGTTTGAACTTATGCACAACCTATATCTAGCATTTTTCAAGTTTTTGTTACCTACTCGCCATGACATCGATTCATCATTATTAACCGAAATGGTTTGGAGTAACTTGAGTCATTTTGAATTTCCCTAGCATAATATGCGTGGGGTGAATAATTTATGTAAGGATTGTGGAAATTATTTTTGGTAAACTTTCGATCAGATTAGATACAAAAGGAAGAATTCAAAATTTGTAACTACAACGAATCCTGAGAAAAAGGTTGACGAGCACTGATCTATACCCAGCCCCAACATTGTGGCAATCATTATTTGTCATGTCTATCACCAGTTACTCTTATTATCTAAAGTTTACTTATAGATAAATTGTGAATCCTGATAAAATCGGAGTTTTTTTCACATGTAGATGTCTTTAATATTTAAATATGTGACTAGCGAATGGCACACACTGTTGTGTTGGCATTTTTACAACTAAACGAAATTTCCAGGCGAGTACTTCCAACGTACTTCAGCAAAACTCCAGTCAGTAAATACACAGGAGTAATTAAGCGACAACAAATTGCATTTCGAAAACATAAATTTCTTGTTTGAACTTGCAGATGACAGTGCATTACAGTACATAAATTAAACAAACTTTGAAACCTGGCATAAAGAAATATCACCGTCATGTACTTTTACTTTGGTCCCAGCATGTCTTCAGGTTTCACCCATTTATCAAATTCCTGCTCGGTTAAAAATCCTAAATCTATTGCAGCTTTCTTTAAAGTTGAACCTTGGGCATGAGCATGTTTAGCTATTTTCGCGGCTTTGTCATATCCGATATGAGGATTTAATGCTGTTACAAGCATCAAAGATTCGTGGAGTAATTCAGATATTCTTTTTTCATTTGCTTCAATTCCCACGGCGCAGTTGTCTGCAAATGATACACAAGCATCACCAATCAACCGAGAAGATCGTAGAACATTTGATACCATTAGGGGTTTAAATACATTTAATTCAAAATGACCGTTACTTCCTCCAACAGTGGTGGCAACATGATTACCCATAACTTGTGCACAAACCATGGTTAGAGCTTCACACTGGGTTGGATTAACCTTCCCAGGCATGATACTGCTTCCTGGTTCATTTTCAGGAAGTGACAGCTCACCAAGTCCACACCTCGGTCCTGATCCTAAAAATCTGATATCATTTGCAATTTTCATTAGGGAACAGGCTATTGTGTTTAATTGGCCACTGACTTCAACGAGTGCATCATGTGCTGCAAGTGCCTCAAATTTATTTTCAGCTGTTATGAATGGTAGTCCTGTGATTTGAGCTACTTTAGAAGCAACTTTCTCTGCAAAACCAATTCTTGTGTTGAGTCCTGTTCCTACGGCTGTCCCACCTGCTGCAAGTTCATATATTCGTGGTAAACATGCATTGGCTCGATGTATGGCATTATCAAGCTGCTTGACATAACCAGAGAACTCTTGTCCAAGTGTTAGTGGGGTTGCATCTTGTGTGTGAGTTCTTCCTATCTTGACAATGTCTTTGAAATCACCGACTTTTGCTTGCAAGATATCTCTAAGATGTTTTACACCTGGAATCAAAATTTCGTGCAAGGACTTTGCTACAGCAATATGCATAGCTGTTGGATATGTATCATTTGAACTTTGACTTTTGTTTACATGATCATTTGGATGAACTGGGTCTTTAGTTCCAAGCTTTCCTCCCATTATTTCAATTGCTCTGTTGGCAATCACTTCATTAACATTCATGTTAGATTGAGTACCACTGCCAGTCTGCCATATTACTAACGGAAAATGATCATCTAATTTCCCATCAATAATCTCATTGGCAGCTTCAACAATAGTATCAGAGATCTTTTCGTCCAAACCATATTCCTTGTTGACTTCAGCTGCCGCTCGCTTTAGAACACCGAATGCTCTAATAACCTCTATTGGCATTCGTTCAGAGGGTCCGCCAATTTTGAAATTCATCATTGATCTTGCGGTATTGGCTCCATAATATTTATCGTTCGGCACATTGAGATCACCAAAGCTATCAGATTCTGTTCTGTGTCCAGCTGAGCTGTACATTCTCGTGGAATTTGCGATCAATTTCAGTCGATAATGATATAACCTAACCGGCCTGATTAATGCTAGACCACGAGAAAAAATACAAGACGATGACATTACAAAGGGAAATCAGACACCGGTCGGTCGAACAGCCAGCAAACTAAACTGAATACTGGGATACGAGATATAAAAAAACATATTGAGTGAAAAGGCGTGGCATAACGCAGATGCCAATGCTGTGGTGCATAACGTGGCACTGCCCAAAGTAATACTTTCACGATCTCAGGACAGAGCACAACGAGGATTTAAACTCGAGTCGAAAACATAAACGTAATCAGGGGAAGGGGAATAATTCAACTTTTTTTTTATTTTGGCTCGGCGGTGTGTCGCATGGTGCTAAGCGTTAGATATACGCTCACCACCGCATCTCTGATTACCCTACGTGCGATAGCAGGTTCGAATCCCATGCGGGGATGACCATGTGCAAAAGGATTGCTGGACTCCTCGCCGCCGTAGGGAGGTTTACGTAACCGCTGGTCGGTTACGGCTTCCTCTACCATCAAGTCCATGCTTCCGAAAACAAATAACTGGCTGACCAATCCCATACGGTACCCGACCTGGACTGGTAACCGGACGAGAGGCCGTGATTCGCCATATGATTAAGCCGTCTTATCGGCTTTCCTCTCCCCCGGGATAAATATGTAAATCCTATCCTATCCCTAATTGCAATTTTGCGGCAATTGCAGTAAGACATAAATTCATACGCCTTCCCCATCATCATTTTGAAAAAGCGTGGCATAACTCAGATGCCAGTGATGTGGTGTATAACGTGGTACTGCAAAAAGTAATACTTTCACGATCTCAGAACGTTGGGCAGCGAGGATTTAAACTCGAGTCGAAAACATAGGCGTGAAAAAAAATTGCCCCCCTCCCCCTAAATATTTGGGCTGTCAACGCTCTTGGTTGAAAATCCCTGAATTTTGTATTAGAAAGTCGAAACGTGTACAAACAGACCCATACACAATTACACTTTTATGTTCCAAGAGCATTTTCGCAGAAATTTATTTTCCTCATGGTAATGAATCGAACGGACGTGATGGACGTATAAAAAGTTCATTTGACGATTCCCCTATCCGACCCTAGTGTTTATTTGTTGATGAACACAATTACTGTCCACAGGATGCTTGAGTATATTATGGGTATACGGAGACACAATAATCATAGCGGTAGACAGCATGCAATACAGAAATGAGAATACAAACAGAGATCACTGAAGTATGGTACCATACATTTTGAACGGACGTTGAGGCTATTTAAACTGTTGTATGTGATTTCAACTGATTAGTGTTAACAACCTATATATATATATATACGCATAGGTTTCGGCACTAAGAGCAACATCCGTTGTATGAGTATTATAACATTAAGAAGAGATTTTCGAAACCTGTCTTGTAAAGACTTGAGATCCAAATTATCCCAAATACGGAGTTTACCCATACGGTTTTAACACATGTCAGAGATCATCATTTGAGCAGTGGTTGCCAACCTTTTCTGGGAACTGGAAACAAAATTTTGAAATGAATGAAACAGCTACTTTGTTTTGATAAATAGATTTTGCAGCGAATATCCGAGTAATTATATACCAACTGATACGATAGTCGTAAAATTTAACATCGACAATTGCAAATTGAGAAATAGAAACTGAGGCAGCCTATGCGAAGTTCCGCTTCTAAGGTTGGTTTCGTGACCATACAGTAATAAATCCTAGTTGCATATTCCGGCTAAACAACATATAGGCAATTAAAATATAACCATAAGAAATAAAGATTGAATGTGCCACAAATGCGACTCAAAACCGTTGTTTCTAATCTGGCCCAGCCAGATTTTTTTCGAATGCATCTATTATGAGCAACTTAGTTCTCCTAAATATTCAATTATATAAATAAAGAAAATAAACGTTATGATCTGTACGCATTTGCTATAAAAATTGGTGATTTTAACGGATGTAGGGCGTTAAAGAAAATCGATTTGCCCAAGTAAGTGATTGATTGACGACAATAATGTTGTATTAAGAAAAATACTCATTGTATTTTCACTTTTTTGTACGTTTCTCTTCTGACCAAAAAATGGTTCTCTACCTACCTAGCCTATTATGTATAATGATGGTTGTTTTGAAATGACTGAAAATATGCAACATGGGTGCAAAATTGAAGATTTTTAAAGATATTGTGAAGATAAGTTCGGACAAAATTATGCTCTGCTCAAATATGTGACCGGATATACAAAAGTTAAACTGCACGAACTGATATTTGAAAATTCACAATCGACTTTTACATTGGTGCGCTAGCGTTTTAGTAGATTTTACTGGAAATATGTTTGAGCTTGGAACGGAAACATGCATTCGCACCTTATTCTAGGATTTTTTTTTGGATTGTTTGTTTACATGCCGCATCACACGCACAGCGGATATTTAATTCACTGTTTTGTTTTTGAAAAAATTGCACGCAACCTGATTACTAAGTGCAATGCCTGAGTAATGACCGCCGTCAATATTTATGTTTATTTGTTTGTGTTTTTGACCTGTTTTCTTTCTTCTTTGGTAAGTGAACGCGTTTAATACGTTTTAAACTTTATTTATTAGGTTTTGTTCATTTTCCTGATTCTTCGCCCTAATCTTTTGTGTATATATATTTATTTTGTTTTTGCAAATGAATCGAAATAAATTCTTATCTAATCCGATAAGTCTGTTCATTACGTACACTCGTGATCGTGAAGCGTTCCTCTATTTAAAAAAATAAAAAACTGTTCATTGTCGGTTAGCATATTATCGACGTGGCGGAACTATCGGTAATCGGATCCGCAGAACTATGCTTCAGCGTTACTGTATTATTCCGAAAGTTACATTTATGAATGTTCTGGTTATCCGAAGCCTACATTTCACACGCTAATATATATATGCCTTTTCGATGTTCATCCAAATAACCTACAAGCAATGCCGTTACCTTGATAAAGAAATAACAAACTGAATAAGAAAATTCTTCGCGGATCCACAAAAAACTATGTGCACGGGTAGAGCGTCTAATTAAGACGACACAATTCGACAATTTCAGGTAATCCAACTTCTCGTCGTTTTTCTTTAACTAATAATAATGCCAAATTTTGGAGAATGTTTGAAAAATCTAGACTATGGTAAAACTATTGTAATATTAATCACTTTTAACGATTATTGATGTTATGGGCGCTTGGTGGGCCTGGCATATATATATAATTTATAATATAATTTCATCGTGTAGGGCAATCTCAAAATCATTCATACAAACACATCACAGATCACATACGTACACCGACCACGTACATCTGTTGGAACTCCCCGAACAATTCAGACAGACAGAAATTTTCTCGATAGTGTTTATAATTTTGAAAAATAGTCTTCACGAGGCGCTCCTGGAGTATGCGTACCAAGATAGCGGACATCGGAACGTAGTATGTGTACCAGGTTAGGGTTAGGCCATAATTTTAGGTACAAATACTACGGGAGTCACTTGGCTAGTCTCCGGACTCGTAATAGAACTAAAATAAGAAAAAATGGAATAAAATTATGACCTAACCCTAACATGGCACACATACTACGTTTCGGTGTCCGCGATCATGGCACGCATACTTCAGGAGTACCCTTCACGATAGCACTACTTCCGGATAATAGAGAATCCGGATAATGGAGGCATTCACGGGCTGCAGCCCATAATTTGAACAAGTAATTTTAGTGTAATTATCAAATATATATGGCAGGTATACAGTATCTGGGAACAGGCTAGTTCCAGATTTGACATTACACACTTTTGTTATCAACGGGAAATTTCATTAATCTAATAATCTTGTCTTTGTGCAACATGAATCTCATAGCCAATGCATTAGTAATGCATGTTGCACTATTTCGGTGTAAAGCAGCCTCAGAAATCGTTAGAAAAGCTTATGATTATCAATACATCTCAAATTATCTGGTTATTTCAAATCTGTAGATGAAGATACATAGCAATTGACAGTATTATTAGGAACATTCAGATTGTCCATGCAATAGTATCTAAAAATTCTTTACCGATAAATATATATATATACATCTCTTTGCTGCATTGCGGTCACATGCTATTTTTTGCTGCAGTTGGACTACTCGTTTTCTGTGGCATATAGTGAGCTACTCACAGCGTTATTTTTAGCGGTTTTCAATAAAAATAGTATGACAAAATTTCACGCAGGTAATACAGTTCGTTTAAAATATAGTCGAGATGGTGCCCAATCGTCGTCGCCCAATTCCGAGAGACTACTTTTTTTTTATCCTATTTGCGGGAATGAGGAACATCATTGGATATGGTTGACATCGCATCGAGCCAAGATCAGTTGTTTTGGAATGTTTAGGGCGTGTTTCAATAAATGTACCCGAAGTACCTAGAAAACGTAAATGGGCGTGACTTTGCCATGGTTTTCTTATCACAGAAGGCACGGGGCCACTGCCCATCTCGTTGAATATATTTGTGAAAATTCCAAATAGACTGCAAAACGCTTTACTGTCCCGGAAACAGAACTAAATGACCAGTAAACATTGAAATCACTCGAGTGTGACTAGATTGGTGGGTACTCGCATCCGAGACGCAAAAACCCGATTTGTAAAAAAAAACATCTTCCTTTGGCCTGATCGCCTTGCCAAGTTTAGCACGGATTAGTTTCCTGTAAAATGTTCGTTTGTTCCCGAAACCCTGAATATACTTTTGTATCAAGTTTCTTGACGCGCAACGATGTCTGACTCCGACTGCGCTTTCGAACTAAAGTGCTCTCGGTTGCCTAATCCTAAATGAGTTTCACGTCTAGGTCTAACAGACAATATTAGACCATGCACATGAAAATATGAGACTATTCATTTAATTATTGTTATACTCGTAATAGATGACACACATTAAAAAAATAACAAAATGACAGTATACATACTGAAAAGTATTTATTAGTATTGCAGTGAATCTGAATTGTTCAGAACTAAATTCTCATCGTCTACAAAATTATATTTTGCGAAGTAATTGCAATTTAAAAAATAGAATAGGCTATTTTATTGAGGACTGAACCTGAAAAGAGATCTAATAGCGATATTTTGAGAGTTGTTTATAGTGGAGTTTTGAATAATAAATGACTTATTGCTTAAAGTTACGAAGTCGTGAGTTA